GTGTTGAAGACAGCGAGTGGGAGAAGTCCTACACTGGGCCTACCGGTGGTGTCGTTACTGTTCTGTCCGAGATGGGTGAGCCTATTCACAAGCTTGCTACTCGTGGTGTCCTCTTCTGGGCCGAGATGGACAAGAAGATCTTCTCCCTCCCCAAGGAGAAGCGTGTCGCTGAGCTGAAGAAGAACCGCGACTACATTGTCAAGAAGCTCAACGACGACTTCCAAAAGGTTTGGTTTGGTCGCAACCGCGCTGGCCAGGCTGTTGACTTGGAGGACATGACCTACGGCGAGGTTGTCCGCCGCATGGTCGACTTGCTTTACATCCGTCACGAGCAGCGCTGGATCGACCCTACTTTTATCAGACTCACTGGTGACTTCATCCGCCGTGTTGAGGAGCGCTTCACCTCCAAGCCTGGCCAGGTCGCCCAGCTCCAGGACTTCAAGGACCTCCAGACTCCTTACGAGACTGTTGAGAAGATTCTCTCGCACTACCCCGACGCCGAGACTCAGCTCATCAACGCCCAGGATGTCCAGCACTTCTTGATGCTCTGCCTCCGTCCCATCCAGAAGCCCGTCACTTTCATCCCTACCCTGGATGAGAACTTTGACTTCTACTTCAAGAAGGACTCCCTGTGGCAGTCTGAGGACCTCGGCGCCGTCATTGGCCAGGATGTTGGACGTACCTGCATTCTCCAGGGACCTACTGCTGTCAAGTTCTCCAAGGTCATTGACGAGCCCATCAAGGACATCCTTGACGGTATTCACAAGACGCACGTTGAGTACTTGACCAGAGACCTTTACAAGGGCGAGAAGAAGGCCATTCCCACCATTGAGTACTTTGGTGGCAAGCTCATCGAGACTGAGATCCCCGTCGAGGATGTTGATGGCCTCACCGTCTCCTACGATGATGCCCACAAGAACACCTACCGCCTCTCCACCTCGCCTTCCGCGACCCTTCCCAGCCTCGATGCTTGGTTGGCCCTGCTTGCCGGTCCCGATCGCAGCTGGCGCCACGCTCTTCTGACCTCTGAGGTTGTTGTTCAGGGCCAGAAGTTCCAGACCAACCCTCTCAAGCGTATCTTCGCACCCACCCGCGGTCTCTTCGTTGAGATCCACAACCCCAAGGATGCGAAGAACACCAAGATCATTGTCAAGGAGCAGCCTCGCCACAACCAGTACGTCGATGTCATTGAGGTCAAGCTGGAGGGCAAGAACGAGATCGTTGTCAACATGATCAAGGACACCACTGCTCTTGGCAAGCCCGTTGCCCTGCCTCTCAAGTTCACCTACCACCCCGAGGCCGGTTACGCTCCGATCCACGAAGTCATGGAGGGTCGCAACGACCGCATCAAGGAGTTCTACTGGCGTGCGTGGTTCGGTGACGAGACCTTCAACCTCGATGCCGATGTCAGCAGCAAGTTCGACGGTGGCAAGGCGACCATCACCGGTGAGAGCATCAACGACTTCATCCACGCCGTTGGCAACACTGGCGAGGCCTTCGTTGAGCGTCCCGGCAAGACTGTCTACGCTCCCATGGATTTCGCCATCGTCGTCGGCTGGAAGGCCATCACTAAGCCCATCTTCCCTCGCACCATTGACGGTGACCTGCTCAAGCTTGTTCACTTGTCCAACGAGTTCCGCATGAAGCCTGGTGCTGAGCCTCTTAAGAAGGGCGATGAGGTCTCCACCACCGCTCAGATCAACGCCGTCATCAACCAGGAGTCTGGCAAGATGGTTGAGGTCTGCGGTACTATCTACCGCGACGGCGAGGCTGTCATGGACGTCACCTCCCAGTTCCTGTACCGCGGTGCTTACACCGACTACGAGAACACCTTCCAGCGCAAGATGGAGACGCCTATCCAGCTTCACTTGGCCACCAGCAAGGATGTTGCTGTTCTTAAGTCGAAGCAGTGGTTCAACACTGATGACTTGCCCCGTGACCTCGACCTCCTCGGACAGACGCTTACCTTCCGTCTTCAGAGCTTCTACCGCTACAAGACCAAGACGATGTACAGCAGCGTCTCCACCCAGGGCCAGGTTCTTCTTGAGCTCCCCACCAAGGAGATCATCCAGGTCGCCAGCGTTGATTACGAGGCCGGCCAGTCCAACGGCAACCCCGTTGTCGACTACCTCGAGCGCACTGGTGCTCCTCTCGACCAGCCCCTCCACTTTGAGAACCCCATCCCTCTCAGCGGTCGCACCCCTCTGCAGCTTCGCGCCCCTGCCACCAACGAGAACTACGCTCGTGTCTCTGGTGACTACAACCCCATTCACGTTTCTCGCGTGTTTGCCAACTACGCTGCCCTCCCCGGCACCATTACTCACGGCATGTACTCCAGTGCGGCTGTCCGTAGCTTGGTTGAGACCTGGGCTGCTGAGAACAACATTGGTCGTGTTCGCAGCTTCCACGCTTCTCTGGTTGGCATGGTCCTCCCCAACGACGACCTTCAGGTCAAGCTTCAGCACGTTGGTATGGTTTCTGGCCGCAAGATCATCAAGGTCGAGGCCAGCAACAAGGAGACTGAGGAGAAGGTTCTTCTCGGTGAGGCCGAGGTTGAGCAGCCTGTGACTGCCTACGTCTTCACCGGTCAAGGTTCCCAGGAGCAGGGCATGGGTATGGAGCTGTACGCCAGCAGTGACGTCGCCAAGGACGTCTGGGACCGTGCCGACAAGTACCTCCTGGACAACTACGGCTTCTCCATCACCAACATTGTCAAGAACAACCCCAAGGAGCTTACCGTATACTTCGGTGGCCCTCGCGGCAAGGCCATCCGCCAGAACTACATGGCCATGACCTTCGAGACTGTTGCCGCCGATGGAAGTATCAAGTCTGAGCGCATCTTCAAGGAGATTGACGAGAAGACCACCTCTTACACCTACCGCTCGCCCACTGGCCTGCTGTCCGCCACTCAGTTCACTCAGCCTGCCCTTACCCTAATGGAGAAGGCTAGCTTTGAGGACATGAAGTTCAAGGGTCTTGTTCCCCGTGACTGCACTTTCGCTGGTCACTCCTTGGGTGAGTACTCTGCCCTCGCCGCCTTGGCCGAGGTCATGCCCATTGAGAGTTTGGTGTCGGTCGTCTTCTACCGCGGCTTGACCATGCAAGTCGCTGTCGAGCGTGACGCCGCTGGCCGATCCAACTACTCCATGTGCGCCATCAACCCGAGCAGAATCTCCAAGACCTTCAACGAGGAGGCCCTGCAGTTCGTTGTCGACTGCATCTCTGAGGAGACTGGCTGGCTCCTTGAGATTGTCAACTACAACATTGCCAACATGCAGTACGTGGCTGCTGGTGACCTGCGCGCGCTCGACACCCTCACTGGCGTCACCAACTTCCTCAAGCAACAGAAGATTGACATTGAGGAGATGCGTGGCAACATCGACGAGGCCAAGGGTGCTCTCAAGGAGATCATCAAGGGCAGCGCCGAGGCTACCCTCAAGAAGCCCACGCCCCTGGAGCTCCAGCGTGGCTTCGCGACGATTCCTCTCCGCGGTATCGATGTGCCTTTCCACTCGACCTTCCTGCGGTCTGGCGTCAAGCCTTTCAGATCGTTCCTTCTCAAGAAGATCAACAAGACGACGATCGACCCTGCCAAGCTTGTCGGCAAATACATCCCCAACGTGACGGCGAAGCCTTTCGCCATCACCAAGGAATACTTTGAGGATGTGTACAAGCTGACCAACTCGCCCAAGATTGCTCAAATCTTGGCGAACTGGGATCAGTACACTCAGGACGGCCCTGGCCCCAACGGAGTCAACGGCCTCGCTGGTGAGCACGAGGGCCCTGGCGCCGCAGCATAAGCTGTGTGCGCAATTGACAGAAGGAGAAATCGGGCTATGGTATAACGAATGACTAAAAGAAGGAGGAGGGCATTGAATGACTCTAGACGGCGTAAGCGTTGTACAAATTAGGGATGTGGTTTCTTGATGACTGTTTTATCATGCTGCGTTTTAGAAAGCTTTGTGTTTGGTCATTACATGAAATGTTTGGGGCGTTTATTATTCTAGAGTTTTAATTGTGGCACAAGAAGAGAAACAGAGCAACCAAAGTTCAACAAGCTGTGTAAAGTTTCCGAGAGGCGTGTGATAAAATGTCCGATGGCACTGCTTTGTCTGACGGGCAAACAAGGCAGAGGGTGATACAATGACTGATGACTGGAAAACTAGTGGCAGCCGGCGAGCACAGCAGCTATTTTGACAGCGGGGGATCTACGAAGAGTGACTGCAGGGACCCGGGACACTGATGCTTCTCCCGACTGGCGCAGCATGCGGACGGAAGGGCGGGTCGGGTTCGACTACCCGTCTCGAGGGAAGGCGAGAACATGATGGCTTTGGGACGAGTCGGGATGGCGGTGGAGGACCATGTGGTTCTGTGATAATCAGCTACCTATCTAAGAGTGTCCCAAGAGTAAGACACGGCCATGTTGTGCCGCCCTAGCGAACAAAGGAACCTCGGAGCTTATCAGACTTATCAGGTGGTGGCTTCAATAGATCGAGGGGTGACTTGGAAAGGCTGAGGAACGGGGGTGATGTGGCTTGGAAGAGCTATGGTGGGAATGCTGGAGAGCTATCCGGATGGAGTCAAGCCGAGGGGGGAATGAAAGCTGCGGTCGGCCAGCGGCGAGCGCCGTGCGACGTGCGGCCGGTGCGTTGCGAAGTGGGGGGCGGGGCGCGCATTGGTCGTGGTGTTTGGCGGGCAGTTTGGGGTCGCAGTTCCGTAAGGTACCTCGAAAAGACTGGTATGCAATTGTAACCCAACAAATCCGATTCTAGACTTTTGGACTAGGACAGTTTTCTCCTGTTGTTGGTTTAGGTAGTCACATCCAGCTACACCGAGAGAGGAAAGCTTCTTTGCTTCGACACTTAGTACGTAGTCCCGTCGAGTTGGGCCCCTCCCCCTGTCAATCAGTCCGTCTCCGTATTCCGCGTCTTATCTCTTGGAGGGGTAAATTTAGCATCCTGGGGAGACCCGAACGAGGAAGGAGACGGCCGCCGGGCGGACTGCGTTTACCTTAACCTTGAGAAAAAGGACGAAGCACATGCTTTCTTTGGCAGCGCGTCATCTGTTGCACCGCATATATCTACCGTGTTCCCCTTCTCTTCCTTTTCTTTCCCCTTCGCTTTGTTTTTCGCTTTTGAAGAGAGGGGTTTTGGGAAACTTGAACCGAAGAGACGATACCCATCTTTTGCCTTTTCTGCCTTACCTCACTTACCTCATCCTCTCCGTACCACCTTTTGCAACGTACATCCCGTGACTGCTATTCTTTGAGGACATTGACCCAGCAATTGCCATTCCGGTCCGAGTCTCTGTGGTATCCTCGGTGAGAGGGCATTGTCAGCATTAGCGATCACCTGCGCCTTTTGAAGCACACGAAGAATTGGAAACAAAGAAGACAGAGAGAGCAACGTGGTGGGGGGTTTCGTTTCAACCGCCGCCGACTCTGCCGACGACAACCGAAGACCGAAGACAGATTATCCCGACGTCACGGCCACCTGCGAAATAGTCTACCACCAAACCTTCAATTTCAACCCCATTTTCCAGAGAGCTCGACATCTACCCTGGTCAAAAGAATAGACGGTTAGCAGTAACATAATGGGCGACATGATCCGGGACCTACCGCCCGCCGGCGCCAGCGCAACAGCAACCGAAACTCACACTCCCACGCAAGCGCAGTCGCAGCCGCGTAATAAGCTCTTCCTCGGCTCCTTCATCCACTCAAAGACAAAGGAGCAGCTCGAGTACCTGCACGGCGCGGCCGTCTGCGTCGATGCCGCGGGAACGATTGTCGCTATCGAAGCGGAGTGCGATTTGAAGAGGGCCGAGGCGGAGGTTCTGCCGCGGTTGGGATGGACAGTTGACGATGTCGAGGTTCGTGTTGGCAAGGAGGGGCAGTTCTTCTTTCCTGGGTTCATTGGTATGTTCAGACTCATCCTTTCTTTTCGTGCGCCCGGGATAATGATCATCTGTCTCGGGATGCTCTCCCGCCCGCAGTGAGACATCGTACCCAGAAGCTAACCAAACCCCCACCACAACCAGATACCCACGTCCACGCATCACAATACCCCAACGTCGGCATCTTTGGAAAATCAACCCTCCTCGACTGGCTAAACACCTACACCTTCCCCCTCGAATCCTCCCTCGCCGACCAGAAAAAGGCAAAACGCGTCTACACGGCCTGCGTGAAACGCACCCTCGCCCACGGCACCACCACCTCGGCATACTACGCCACAATCGACGTCGCCGCGACGAACCTCCTCGCCGATATCTGCCTCGCACTCGGCCAGCGCGCGTTCGTCGGGCGTGTATGCATGGACCGCGAAGGGTTGTGCCCGGAGTACTACAAGGAAGAGTCCGCGGCCGATTCGCTGCGCAAGACGAGGGAGAGCGTGGAGCATATCCGGCGGATCGACCCGGCGTTTGAGCTCGTTGCGCCGGTGCTCACGCCGAGGTTTGCGCCGGCTTGTTCGGGGGAGGCGATGAGGGGGCTGGCGGGGTTGCAGCGGGAGTTGGATGTGCTCGCGCAGACGCATATTTCGGAGAACGAGGGGGAGATTGAGCTTGTGAAGGAGCTGTTCCCCGAGGCGGAGAGTTATACGGATGTGTATGACAGCCATGGGTTGTTGGGTGAGAAGATGGTGCTCGCGCACGCGATTCATTTGTCGGAGAAGGAGGCGGATGCGATTGCGGAGAGGGGCGCGAAGGTGTCGCATTGTCCGTGTAGTAACAGCTCCATCACGAGCGGTGCGGCGCGGGTGCGGTGGTTGTGGGATAAGGGGATTGATGTCGGGTTGGGGACGGATATGAGCGGTGGGTATAGTCCTAGTATACTCGAGGCGGCGAGGCAGGCTGCTTTGGTGTCACGGCATGTTGCGATGGGGTTGAAGGGGGAGGAGAAGGAGAGGGCCAAGTTGACGGTTGAGGAGGTTTTGTATCTTGGTACGAGGGGCGGTGCGAAGGTTGTTGGGTTGGGTGGGAAGATTGGCGGGTTTGAGGTTGGATTGCAGTGGGATGCTCAGCTTATTGGGCTGCCTGTCGTTGATGAGGATGGAGAGCAGGAGGAGGATGGGAATGTTGATGTGTTTGGGTGGGAGAGCTGGGAGAATCGGGTTGCGAAGTGGGTGTTTAATGGAGATGATCGGAATACCAAGATGGTTTGGGTCAAGGGGCGGATGGTGCATTCGAGGAAGTAGATGACCACAGAGTTGTTACGGTAGAAGGGAGGCATGAGATATATGGCGTTTGGTTACCTACCTACTTACTTGCTGGATGGTTTGATATCACTTGAAGTATTGGACTACCTTTAGATGTATAATGAAGCTCAGAGCTGTTCATGGAAATCTCCAACAACCAGTCTTTCGTCGTGACAATTGCAGTGCAAGAAAAGTCGTCCAATCCGGCAATGCATGAGCAACTTGAACTTGATTGGGCGAGTCTGAATGCGCGTCAGATCACGAGGGAGGCGCGGTTTCCAATGAAGTCGAACTTGCCATATCACAATCAGGCTGCGTCTTGCCAAGCGACACCCGCAACCGACGTCTCTCCCGACTCTCCCCTCACGTCCATCTTCCCTTCTGCATCGTCTAGTTCTGCCTGTCTCTGGGTGTATCGTCGTCGTCTGTTCCCTCTTTGCTCCTCTCTTGACCAAATCCCTCGGCGGGTATCACGCGACCCGACCCCTCAACGATCCTAGCCACTGTTAGACTCTTGATTCTCCCTTCCTCGAAACAACCTAGCTTACCTACTGGCCTAGTCACCAGAAACGGCCCGCCATGGCCGGCCTCGAAGGCATCGCGGGCCTCAGCCTCGCCTGCAACGTCATGCAGCTCATCAGCTTCGGCCACGAGGCCATCTCGATGTGTCGACGTATCCACGAAAGCGGCTCCCCCGAACCTGGTCTTTCTGAACACGCCGAGAGTCTCAAAGCCGTGTGCGATGGTTTGGAGAAGTCCTTGGGCAAAAGGCCGACGCCCGTTGCTACTACTGCTCCCACTTCCGCCGCCACCAGAGCACCGACAATGGAAAAGCGACTTCTCGAACTTGCCGCCAAGTGTGTCAAGAATGCCAGAGACCTGCAGGAGGAGATGAAGTTTCTGTCTCCTAGTCAACCAGGCAAACTTGGAGCGCTGGTCGCTGCGCCAAAGATACTGTGGCGGAAGAGGAGACTTGAGAGACTCAAGGGGAATCTGGATGACGCGCAGAGACTCATGGACACGTCGGTTCTCGAGCGTCTGTTCGCCAGAGCAGAGGCACTCTACCAAGCGAACAATAAGGGCTTTACAGATCTGAGTAAAGAGCTCCAGCGATTCATCACAGACCATGCGGCTTCGAATAGCATCCTTCGAACTGTCGTTGAGACACATGCGAAGGAAATTCAAGACCACGTCACCATGGCATCCTCGAAGACGCAGAATGAAATCAAGTCACACGTGTCCCTCAAACTTTCTAGTCATGAGATTTCTATCATGAATCATGTTTCATCATCTGCCCAGGATGTCCAGGATACTTTTTCACAGAGGATGACGTCAAGAGAGGACTCAAAGGCCAAAGAACTGGCCTTCCAGCAACTTTTGAAAAGTCTCAAGTATCCGGGAATGAACGAGCGAAGGAACCAGATTTCGCCAACGCACCCAAAAACTTTTCGTTGGATCTTCAGTAACACATTTCAGTTCAACGACTGGGATTCGGGCAGTGACGGGGAGTCAGAATGGCTCGCAGAAGACGATTCCAGCACACACAGCGATGAGCCTGCCGAGGTTGATTCAACGATCATTTGGTCAGAAGATTCAGTCGAGTCGTCGGGCAGCTTCAGAAGCTCCAAACCTTCTCTTGAATCAACTAAGCCTCAACCTTGGGATAGTTTCGTCGATTGGCTGAAAGACGACCCGCGTAAAATTTACTGGATTAGTGGCAAACCCGGATCTGGGAAGAGCACACTGATGAAATACATCGAAACAAATGACAGCAATATCAAAAGCCGCGAACCGGCTATTCGAATTTTATCACATTACCTGTGGAGACCTGGTACCTTTATGCAACAGAGTATAAAAGGACTGCTCTGTTCTCTGCTTCATCAAGTTCTGTCCGAAGACGAGAGAACCTCAATGGAAGTTTTGAAGAGGCAGCCGTATATATTGAGGAAAGATGCAGACACCGACTGGACTGCACGAGAGCTTGAGATCACCCTTTTGTATGTGCTACGAAACTCGGCCTACCTACACTTGGTGCTATTGGATGGCTTGGATGAAGTCGCCGATACACCAGATGAAGGAGTTTGCCGACTTTTGAGCCTCATAAACGACCTTGTCATGTCAAATCGAGTCAAAGTCTGTGTCTCTAGCCGTCCCGAGCCAGCCTTGAAGCGCGTACTCGAAAAGCACCCGATGCTCAAGATGCAGGATCTGAACAATCGAGATATCCACTTGCTCACGCGAGAACGAATTGAGGCCATGCAATTTGACGCCAACAATTACACGACCAACCATTTGTCCAACCTCATCTGTGAGAAGGCCGAAGGAGTTTTCATCTGGGTCATTCTGGTCTTAAACAGTCTCAAACGAGGTCTCGACAACTACGATGATATGGACACTCTTTACAGTCGCGTAGAGTCCCTGCCCAAGGACCTGACGAAACTGTATAAGGAGATGTGGTCCCGAATGAAGGAAGATAGCGACCTCTATCGAAGGAAAACAGTCTTGCTTTTTTATATGGCTATTGAATATAAGACACACTCTGAAAGTGCTCTTATTTGGCACGGTAACGCCAACCTCCTTGGTCTTGCCATTTCTACAGACGATGAGATGCTGGAGTCCTTCATGGCCAGTCATGGCTGGGAGCTACCCGATGCGGAATTACTCTGGCAAAAGTGGCATCGCTTAGGGAGAAGACTACCAGCGATGTGTGCCGGACTACTGGACATAACTAAGCCCGAAGAGGCTTTCACGTCCCCCAATTGCAACGAAAATAAATTCAAGCCTTGGGGCAAAACAGGCATTGGTTTCACGCACCGGACAGCTGTCGATTTTATTTGTGCCAGCGAGGAGGGTAAAGAACTTTTCGGCCCTTACGTTCCGAAGAAAGGCGACCTTGTTTCACGGGCGATAAAGACATACCTGATGTTACGGCGTATCATCAATAGAACAGATATCTCAACCATTGCCGCTTCTAACAAAACCCATCTGTCACTAAAATACGACGGGACCGGAAAATCATTCCCGAGCTTATGGCACTTCCAATATCTGGCCGAGTTTTCATCACGCGAAACCGTACATAATCTGCTTTCGTTCACATATCAGTGTCTCGAAATCATAGGGCTAAACTTGGAAAATCAGGTATCGACATCAGACTTAGCGAAGCCGCATCATCGTTTTTTAGCAAAAGCGTTCCATAACACAGCATTCGTCGACTGGGCCGAGGAAACACTGCAGGCAGCCACGGCAGGTATCGAAGAAGTGACCTTAATAGAGTCGCTTGCTCTCCGAGGCGGGTGCGAAGGCATTGTAACTTTTGGTCCGCGTGGCATACTAGAAGGCAATTCTTTTCGGCTTTCAATGATTCAAAGAGTACTTAGAAAGTACTCGAATACCCGACGAGGTTTGAATGATGATATCAATCGACCACTCCAGCTGGCCTGCTACAGGGATGTCTCAATGGCGTGGCGTTGTGTTTTGAGGCACACTCTGGAAGTACTTTTGAGGTGGAACCGCTTCTCCTCGCTTGCGGATGATGCGGAACGGTCGCGATTGTGGTCAGACATAGTGGAGGTCATTCATTCCTTCTTGTCGGCAAATGTACTGGAAGACTTCAATGGCCAAAAGTACATCATTTCCATTGAACCGTCAAACGGCCAAGTCAGTTCAATATCAGAACATATAGATTACAGAGTGACAGCGAAGGAAGTAGAAGTTGTTTTCGAAGTTAACAACGCAGCTATGCTAGCAGGCATCACTGAGGCGGCTCAAAACGTTCTAGGCTCAGTCTCTCTGTCGAAACTTCCCCTAAAACCAGGGTATTGTCCAATAGCGTCACCAAAGCTTGTTTCTGATCAAGGAGGACGGCCGGGGGGTTTTAGAAGTTATAATGAGATTTTGCAAGACGGAAGCATGGATGGGCAGCGACTACTCAGGCTAATATTCAGTGGAAAGTTACCAACATTAGACCACTTGATGTCTGAATCTGGTGGGCCCTTCGTTCTACGGGTACGAAACATAGGTTATCACTGGGGACATTCCTCAGCGCTTCAAGCCGTCGGTCATGAGCTCGGCGCCGTGAATGAGGATTATATATGTTACCACGATGAGCTAAGAGGAGGGGGGGGGCCTAGAGTAATAAGATAGGATGAAAGTAGATTCCCCCCTGAAGACTATTGAGCGGTTCTTCACTTACTATATTACCTTCTGCATTTTGCCGGCATTAAAACCCGGGTAAAGTTTCCATTCCCCTAGTGTATAACGGTTCATATCGATGCAGGGAAGACACGGCTAAGGAAGCCTGAATTAATTGGGTAGTCATTGTGGCTCGGCTTCTTTGCACGCCTGAGTTCTGGCCATTTTACAACTTTCCATCAAATCAAGTACACATGTTACACATTTCGTAGTAATAGATCCCTCTCTGAACTCACTTGTATCTGCTCCCCCGGGACCTTGGTAAGGATGACCTCCTGTCTATGAAAGCTTCACAGCCATTGGAGTTCTTGAACCCGAACTCACGTGTGTCGCTATTATTTTCTGAAAATGACATTCAAGTTGTACACTGCCTTGATCCTCAGCGTGGAACACATCTCTTGTAACCTGCATTACCGTTGCTACCGTTGCTCTGGTCTGATCAAGTAAATTGTATTCCGATTGGACATGGACGTCGTCCAATTTCAAGATGAAAGAATCTCTCAGCGTACTCACTGCTAGCCTTGAAAAAATTCCAAGTCCGACCTGTCAGAAATATTTCAACGATGGGACGCAGCAGAGAAGAAGGCTTTTGCTATCGGCTAAGCTTTCCTTCGCAACTGACCACAGGCTATAATAGGTCCATATACCCTTAGAGCTGCAGCTGATATGTTGTTTCTTTGCGAATCAACACCGTTGGAAGAAAGTTTAGGGTTTACTGAACACGAGTGGATTTCCTTAGCCCTCAGCACACGCATTACATTCCGCATCGTGCCATTGTGATGCGGTAAGCTGACGGCAGGGAATCGAGTGACACAAATGCGCCAGCCCCCATACGATAAGTCTGTAGCATCTACAAACAATGAATCACATGAACCTTCCAATACTGCTCAATGAATCAGCTAACAGATGGAATTCGATTATCGAGCAGACTGTTTGATCCCCATCACTCGCAATTCCCTCCAGTCTGCGATGACTCGCATGGCTCAGTCACATCTCTATTCGCCAAGCACACCGGAAATCACAATGCCTAATAAGGTTTTCAGCTCGCACCCAGAGGTATCCTTTTACTACGCTCCCGGAGGCCTTCTGTTCGTACTTGCTATACCTCTAGTATCTGCATCAAAGGAATCACATGGGTATGGTGATCAGGATCTGTTTGGCCATGTTACGAACGCGGGGTTCTTACACTTTGCCTCCTCGTGAAACTTCCGCGTGATCTTGGAGAGCAATGAGGCGCAGCTTGGCGAAAAGGACGAACGCCTCCATGCGATCAGTACTGGGATGATCGTGAGGTAAGTAGTTGACGGTAAGCATCAAAGAGACGTACTTTATCCAGACTCGGTTAGTCTTGTGCCTCCATTCGAGCCTTCTCTAGTTTGCTGCGCCGTTGGACAGTAACATTCTTCAAGTCATGTCACCCGGTCTAGCAAGTCATGTCTAAGACTATTTGAGCTATTTGTTTGAGAGGGGTCAGACCCGATCGCTTCTTCATCACAGCCGCGATATGGATTCCTCCGGCAGTAGCTACCGGCGGCTGAGTCCTCGGGGCAGAGTTTAATCTTTGGCTACTGCAAATCGAATTTGAAAAATCGGGCAGGTAGCAGGGGTGTCTACAGAAATTTGTATAGAGCGCTTGCAGTTAAGTGTCAGAAGTAAACCGAGACGGCTGCGGCTTGAGGGAACTGGAATCATCCAGCAAGGCAATCAAAGCTCTGAGCATGTATTGGAGTCAAGTTTCAGTCGTTCAAGTAGACACGCTATGAGCCCATTTTGTGACGATCAAAGGCTAGAGTTTTGAGTGAGGTGAGGCAGCCTGTTTGAAACTCTTGAACCTATTCAATGTCACCGTTCTAGTAGAGGACTGCGCAGTTTGGAGACAATAGTCTTAGACAGATAACACCCATCATGTATGCGTTGCACAATGTCGGGTGATGAATGGAGAATCGTTCAATCTATTGAGACATTCGGGCGAGGATATGCGGGTTGCAGTTACACAAGCCACACGGTAGCATGCTTGCGATGCGGCGATTGGATCAGCTGTGCGGAACGGTTAGCAATGATCGGCGTAGGAGGGATGGCAATGTGCAATGGGAATCGAATGCGGCCCCTTTGGAGCTTTCCCTTGCGGATGTATTTCTGCCAAACAACGTTATATAATTGCTAGAGTCTGAAGAGGTTGGAAGTGAATTAATGGCCTTTATCTTCAGCAACAACATTGTAATTTATCAATCCAGCTATTCCTATGGCGCTCTGTTCTCAATAGACCTTCGACAGCGATCACAAATATGAGACTTTATTTCACCTTCAGCACGATGGTGGCAGTTGCTAGCGTCAGCGCAACCAGCAGCACCTCACTATCCGCCACAACTACTGTCAACCCGACAACTGCGTCAACACAGCAGCCGGCCCCGACCAGATATACTCTGCCCAATGAAGACAGTGACCGTTCGTCAAGGGCAGAGGAAATCAAACTCAAGCAACAGATAACCACCTACGGAGAACCACTGATAGGAGATACATCATTCTTTCCCAATGGATCGTTAGGAACCCAGATTTCTTTGCGCGATCAGAGCTTGTGGTTGAAGGATTCGGAACCTGTTGCTCGATTTGCGATCAATGAAAGTGCCGCGGCGCTTGAAGACATTACAAAGGTAGCTCAAATTCTTTTCATTGATGCGAATAATTGTTTGGCTGATATCCATGTTTCAAGCATGGTGGCCTTAAGCGTCTCGAGGACTTCAAAATCCTCTATGATGGTCACTGGTCAGGATCGGTTCCTGGCGGCATCGCCAGAGGCCAGTTCAGCAACTTTTCGTCGGACCTTTTGTTCGCTATGGAGCGCCTCTCGACCAACCCTTACATCATCCGTCGTCTGAACTACAAAAAAGACAAACTACCGTTCACTCTTGGCGACAAGACAGTCAAGAAAATTACTGGAACCTCTCTTGACTCGCTTCATAGGGACGGTCGTCTATTCCTAGCCGACCACAGCTACCAGACAAAGTACATCGCTCAAAAAGACCGATACTCGGCTGCGTGTCAAGTGCTGTTCTACCTTGACAAGCGCTCCGACCACTTTCTTCCTCTTGCCATCAAGACCAATGTCGGCACTGACCTTACATACACCCCCTTGGACACAGGCAATGAGTGGCTGCTGGCTAAGATCATGTTCAACGTCAACGACTTTTTCCACGGCCAAGTCTATCATCTGCTCAACTCCCATGACGTTGCTGAGATTGTCTATCTAGCTGCCCTTCGCACGCTCAGCAGCCGTCATCCTGTTCTAAACCTCCTGGAAAGGCTCATGTACCAGGCTTACGCTATTCGACCCATAGGCGACAGAGTGCTTTTCAACCCAGGCGGTTTCTTTGACCAGAACTTTGCCTTTTCAAATGTAGCCGTACGCCAATTCGGTGCAGAGTTCTATCCGACTGTCGCCGGTCCGTTCCAGAGGAACTACTTCGAGGATAACCTACGATCACGTGGCCTGTTACACTCGTCCTCCGGCCCGAAACTTCCTCATTTCCCTTTCTACGAAGATGGGAAAGAGATTATTGGAGTCATCCGGAAGTTCATGGAAGCTTTCGTCGGGGCAACCTACAACTCTGACCGAGTGCTGGCCAACGATTGGGAGTTGCAAGCTTGGATCACCGAATCTAATGGTCCTGCAAAGGTCATCGACTTCCCATCAGCGCCGCTGAGAAGCAGGAATCAGCTTATTGATATTCTAACCCACATGGCATGGTTGACTGGTGTGTCTCACCATGTCCTGAATCAAGGTGAGCCCGTGACGGCGTCTGGCGTGTTGCCACTTCACCCGCTTTCTTTGTACGCGCCTCTTCCGACTAAGAAGGGACGTATCGAAAGCCTTCTTCCTTGGCTCCCCAACGAGCAAAAGTCGGTTGACCAGATTACTCTTCTCGCACGTTTCAACAGGCCTCAGGTCGTCGAGAAGAACCAGACTCTGCGGTACATGTTCAACGCTGAAAGTCTTCTCGCCGGGACCACCAAGGCTATTGTGGTGGCAAATGACCGGTTCATGAAAGACATGGGTAGTATTAGCAGGAGGATCAGCGGCCGGCGGTTTGACAGCGAGGGTCTAAGTCAGGGCATGCCATTCATCTGGACCGGCATGGACCCTGGGGTGATTCCATTCTACCTGAGTGTTTAGAAACTGTTTGCACACAATTGGCCAACTTCTACGGTACCTTTGAATATGGGTCACGTAAGTGATTGGGCATGGACAATGATCAGGTTCAATCCCTGCGAGGGGATGTGGGCAAACGTCGATAATTAGCAATCGGCAACTACGATCCAGGCAAAGGGGACGCCGATAGGTTTAATAATACAACTCTAACCCATGGCACTATCTCCCCGACATCTGAAGTAAAGGGGGATGAGCATAAAGACCCAATATACCTAAGCTTGTCAAACTGGTAACAAGATCGATGCTCTGAGCACATTTGTGAGTATTCACTAGCCTCTGGATAACGGCTTGAGGTGCCCTTCTCAACGCCATGAGCGCAACATCTTTCAGTCCAATTCAAGCATTCAAAGGTGGAACCATCAATCTTCGGGCTCTATCAGTACAGAGCCTCCGTGGATTTAGACAGCTGCTGAGGACTTGGGAATCGTCGGAATATCATGGCAGCTGCCGCCGCGCCGCGGACTCCGGGACGGAGAAGTTGTGACTTTCCTAACGAAGATGGCAAGAGGTTCCGGGTCCCGAGTCAAGCTTCTTGGCAAATACTGACGTAACAAGGAAAAAGAGATGCGCATGAGTGGGTGCTGTGCCTGATTCCACGGGAACGATATGAGTCGTGTTGCTGTGAATTCAACTCTTGGCTCGGCCGGGTCCTCCTCGAGAATCCCCACCTTATAGAAATACTCTTGTGGGCTGGCAAGAGGTGAGAACTTGTTAGAAATAAGATTTACCACTTACGACTCTTCTCGCGGACTCCCAAGCTTCCTAGTAGGAATTATGGTACATGCAAAGTCATCATGGGTAAATACTCTGCAGGCCAAAAAGGACTGGCTGCTAAGAGTTGGGAGCTGAAAAGGGTTCCTAAGGCTGTTGATATCACACCGCGTCGGCTCAAATCCGACGCGCCACTCGGGGATTCTGCATAATACACTGCCGCTCCTCCAGGGGTCAGTCACCGGAAGTAGTCTGGGCTCTAGAAAATTCGCAACCACTTCGTCAGCAGATTTCAACAAGCGAGGGCTCTAGTTGATGCACCTTCTAGATTGAAGAACTTCTGGTAACTGTCGAATGGGACAGCTTCCGATTTTTTCGACGCCCGCATTCCGGTCTTGGGTTGTAATAGATGCGGATCTTGCAATGGCATTTTGCCAAGGCGAAAATCTCCTATCCACACCCATGACAACATCGGCGACACCACATCAGTGATCTTTCGGCTCGGGTCAACCGCGGCTCTCATCGGTCGCTCAACGCCTCCACTGATTATGCTTGGTCGTCGGGTCAAGGTTGATTCAACGTGCAGTGACCAGGCGGACCGCCCCTGAACTTACGCGGCCAGGAGTCTTGGCGGCCCGCCGGGGATGGCGTCCGGGTGCGGCTTGGGGGCTTCGGACCCCGGAAGTCAACCGTAATATCTGGGCCGTGATTGGCGAATCGCCTTTTACTATGCGACGAACTGCCGAATGGGGAATTGATCAGAACGTGGTTCTTCGGGATGTGGGAGAGACCTGTTGTGCGAACCCGACGTCAGTGGAGAATTGGAGATCGTGAAAGGTGGACTGCAGCTTGGTTTGGCAGTTTCACGGATCTGAGCGTGATGAGAGGGGGGCAATGGCTGACAAAAGAAACGTCCTGATGAGATGAACTTGTTTTCTGGATCCTCGTCAGGGGTCAAACGGGACGAAGCAGGGAAGATGATATTTTCGTCTATTCGTGGAAGGTGAAGAACAATCGAAAGAAGGGATGAACGTATAAATGAAGGATCAGCTCCCGCTTTGTTGATCAGTTCTGGCTTGATCAGCAGCTTAGATCTCGGTAGCTTGACTTTGGCAATAGGTCCCAGACATTCTCTCGTTGAACAGTCTTTACAACAGTCTTTCTCGACTTACACTCTCTTTCACCCTACACAATGCAGTTCCAGCTCCTTGCTCTCGCTACTGCGCTCCTCTCGGGAGTGGCCGTTGCCCACCCGGGTCATGACCACACTTTGAGCCACTCAGAGATTGCGCGCCGCTCTAACCTCGCCAAGCGTTGCTCGGTGCAATCCGGCCAGTTCCAGGAGGTTCGCAGGAAGCGCCAGGCCGAGAAGCGCTCGCTCGTCAGCCGCTCTCTCGTTCAGCGCGACAGCAATGTCACTATTCACACTGAGGGTCCTCATTACAACACCCTCCAGAACGATACTTGTGTTCTGACCCCCGAGGTTACCAAGGGACCTTATGTCTGGCCTCAGTCTCAGACCCTCCGCCAGGATATGAGCGAAGACCAGCCTGGCGTTCCTCTCTACCTGGATATTGGTGTTCTTAACGTCAATACTTGCCAACCCATGGAAGATGTCCTCGTCGGTTCGTCCCCCTATCATTTCCATTTAATGCTTGACGATGTGACTGACTCTCTCTAGACCTTTGGCACTGCAATGCTGTAAGTGAAACATCATGATTAGACCTCGAACACTCTGCTGACATGAGTACCCCCAGACCGGATCTTACAGCTCATTCACGGGCCACAGCCCTAACACTCCTTTCGAAGAGCTCCTCGACCAGCTCAACGTCACTATCGGCCCCGACTTGGACCTCCACACCGACGCCACCACCTGGCTCCGCGGCATCTGGCCCACCGACTCCAACGGTATCATGGAGATGAAGACCGTCTTCCCCGGTTTCTACGTCGAGCGCACCATCCACATCCACGCCCAGGTTCACACCGACTGGTCCGTCCGCAGCAACGGCACCGTCGTCGCTTCTAACATTGTCAGCACCGGCCAGCTCTTCTTCGACGAGCCCCTCAGCCAGCAGATCATGGCCCTCGAGCCCTACGTCAGCCACACCGAGATCAACCGCACCACCAACGACATTGATAGCATCTTTGCCGATGAGAGCAAGGGCAACTGGAACCCCAACATGGTTGTCGAGCCTCTCGACGGCGAGGACGTTACCAAGGGCATGCTCGCCTACATCACCATCGGTGTTGAAGCATAGATGGCGCAAGACGGACTATGAATGTTGTATCGGATATTCTATAGAGGCCGGCGTCTGGGTCAGTTGATGCTTAGAAGTTAGGAGATGGCAATTAAATCACCACATGATTGGAAAATCCTCACCTTTGCCGATGAGAAGGCAAGCTTCATATTTCTTTCACGTGAATGGATATTGCGCTTGAGAATGTTGTACATTGGTATCGTTCATTTCATTGTGTACTTTACTTTAAGTACGCGTCGTTGGTGGTCTACCCTCGCAATACGTGCCCATAGGAGCCTATTTCATACTCATACCCCTTTAGTCGCGTTCACACCCTTTGCTGTTCAAAGGTTTTTGGGCTCCAATTGCTCCTCGGGAGCTTCAATGACGCGACGTCCACCCTTGGAACGTCGATCGGCATCCAGAGACTGAGCAAACTTGGATCTCTCTCGGATTACCGGACCCTTCCAGTAGATAAGATACACTGGAATAGTGACCATGAATGCAAGGCAAGCAAGAACAGTGCTTGCATACTCAGTGTGGCGTGAGCTTCCAATGTTCTCATACAATGGAGTAGAGTACATCGCTGCAATACCAGCAAGGAAGTCTCGTGCAAACCCGTTGCCACCGGTGGCAGACGCGGAGTAAGGTCCGTATGCGGCAATCATGTAATCAACTGTGCTCATGTAAATGGCAAAGTTGGCAATGGCGATGAGACATGAGAAAATCATGGGCGCGATCCAGTGAGATTCAGGAGGTCCCATCGAGGTCCAAGCGAAGCCGAAGAGCCCAATGGTTTCGAGGGGTGCAAGATACAGCAGCCACTTCAGGCGACGCTCAGGTGCGAGTGCATCAGGGCCCTTTGCCTTAATGACACGATGGTCTCTGATAATCCATGGCACATAGGAGATGTATGCCAGGATATAACCTATGTTGATTGGGATGAAAGCCCAGGCTTTTTGCAGAGTTCCGAAACCCCACTTGTTGAACACGGGCGCGAAACCTTCTTGGAAGGTGAAGATAAGGGCATCGGAGAAACCTGAAAGCACAGAGCAGGAGAGAACGATGGGCTCCCTAAGAAACATCTCAAAGGGACGCATCCACGTGATGGCAAACTCGTGCATCGAAAGCCGAGGCTTCTTAACCTCGTTGGGTCCGTAAATGTTGGTATCTTCTCCAGCCTTGCGACGCCGCTTCGCTTCCCTGTCCATGATGATGGTGGAGCGGCTCTCGGGCATGAAGAAGTGGACGGCTTGTACGACAACGCCAAAGATCATCTGAATCCACAGGTTCCAATACCACGGAAGAAACTTCTGTATAGGCCCTCCAGCGACAGGGCCGACGGAAGTTCCGAGAACGGAAGATAGGACGACGAAGAGAACAGCCCACTGCTGCTCCTCGGGCTGGTATAGATCAGCAACCATACCGAGAGTCACACTACCTCCAGCTGAGCTGAGACCTCCCTGTTCAGATCATGCGTGGTCAGTTACTGATTCACTAGCATAGGAAGATCTCCGACTTACTAGGGCTCGAGCAACAACTATGCTGCCGAAGTTGGGAGCCAGTGCAGCAAGGATCTGCCATATATTGACGAGGAATAGGGAACATCTAGACTTGATCTCAGTTGTGTCAAGCTAGAGTGGCCTCGAAGTACTTACTGCAAGATCTTCCATCGTCCGAACTCCTCACTCCAAGGAGCCCACAGCTCACATCCAAAAGCGTAGAGAACTAAGAAAGCACACTGTGCACTACGTGCCGCCTGCTCACTGACATGGAACTCCTCGCTGATAGGAGTAACAGCGCTAGGAAAGACACTAGTGTTGAAGTTCATCGACACTTGGACGGCAAAAATAGAGGAGAGAAGCATCCACTTTTTCCATGCAGGCCACGAGTATCCCAGTAGATGATAGCACTCATCCTCGGTGATGACACGCTTCCCATCGGGGGTGTACTCAGGCTGCTTGCTGCTCGTTGCCCTTGCTAGGTCTTCCTGCCTGCACGTGCCTTCAGCCTCTTCATCTCGGCCTAGACCGCCTTCGAAGAAACCCCCAGTTGGCGCATCCTCGGACTTTTCGTTGAGGGGCTGCTGTGATTTTTCGCCGTCGAAGCTCCGGTCGACGCGTGTTACGCTACTGTCTCGGGTCGGGATCGACTCATCGACGTTGCTTGGTCGCGAGGCGCGCGGGTTGTCACCAGGAGGCGCTGAAGCCATACTGACAATGCTATCTCTGACGAATAGCTGCCTCAATTCAGACGGCAGGCGTGACAATGCTTGCGTTTGACGTCAGATTTAGGTCAGAAGAACGCCCTAATATTGTCCCGGTGTGCGTCTCGATCGTCAATTTGAATGTGATAGGTGTGCTGGTAGAAATTGATAAAATAAGGAACAGCCCATCTCAGAAGTCGATGGTAAGTGCTAGCTATAACATCTGCCCCAAATCTCCCTGCCCCGGGTCGGCAAAGGTTTCCTACGTTAAATTGGAGATATGACGCTATCCTGCCAAGAGCTTTCTTGCGATGTTACTGCAGCGTGACCATCGGCGAAAAAGAGGATCCGAGGTGAGATCCATAAAAGTCTCCCTTTTCTGAGTTGAGGTTCTCCCGCATCCTCCTCTAATTCGGCTTTCCTATCTAGCGGAGCCGAAACACTAGGAACCTTTCTGCCATTTTTCTGCTCATCTCTGGGGTTTCAATCGAAAAAACGGTCGCATATCTACTGCAATCTGACATCATCATCCCGTAGGAATACTCAGATTTGCGGGTCGGCGGTGGAAACAATGACGGAAATCTGGAGCCGGTAAAGCGCGGGCTACGCAGTTCATCGGCGATACTCGCGGCGTTGATGTGGGTTTCGTTCATGTCGCCTCAACCGAACTTGGAAATTGCACAATTGCATTTGCACAATTGCAATAGTTTTCAGCTGTTTGAAAACAGGCAGGATTTCAGGCAACTCCTCATGTTGCGAGATGAGGACTGGTTTATGGTTGTGGTTCAAGCGGAACCGACCAGCTGGAGATCATGCCGCGCGATGATGTACCCATAGAGTGGGCATAGTTGGCTCACTCTGAGTGGCTTTTGCCGGCGTCTGAAACAATGCGATGACACTACAAGACTCAGGAATTAGACATACGTAGATAGGTCAAGCATCAACTGATTCTGTCTCACTTTTTCCACACGAAAAGCCTGCCGGGACGCAAGAGCTGACATACCGAGTGCCGGTCGCTCAAAGCGGGGCCGCGTCCGAAGGTGGGGCCGTGGTGAAGTCGGGTTTGTCCGTACCAAGTCGAGCCGAGCAAATACCGGATTTGGACCCCAGGTTCTTTACGAATGAGATCTAGAGTGTGATTTACCTCACGTGTGATCGCGTTTCAACTCGTTGCGAAAGAAATTGGGATGGTGGAAGAACATGTTATATAATAGGGACAGACGGAATTTTTGGCTGCGGTCGCGAGGGTCCGAGACTGCAGGGTTTTGCTGCAGAAAAGACTGCAGAAGAGACTTGGTCAACCAAGCAAACTGCCTAAGATACGATAGAGATACTCGAGATCTACGATAGACTGAGTTTACAGAGAGACCCTCCTGTCATGAATTCAAAGACAGTACCCAGAAAACGCTGAGAATCTTGTATTGTCACTTGCCGCACAGACGGGAGGCCTTCTTCTGTAGTCAGGATGCTCCGAAAAAGCCAAGTCAACCAAGCCAGCCACACAGTCTTGGAAAGTTGACTGACAACAGGGGCCTTGTGGCTGGGTCGACAGAGGATGAGTCTAGGAAGCTTAACAATGTCGCACGCCACAGTACGGACTAATGATTCCAACCATTAACAGGCTAGACATTCGCGGTGTTTTCGACGACTTGTTGACGGCGGTGAAAAACCGTGAGACAACGTGCGTGCCTCAGTCTTGACATGTGAAAGACAAATACGGAAACAAGCTTCAAAGATAACAGCGACCACAGGCTCAGGACTGCTACTCCAATTGGTTGCGGAAATAGCATTAGCCGGTGATAAGGGTTGTGATGCGCTGCGGGTGCCTTGCAGCGCATGGCATGGTGGCAGCCGGAGTCACCAAGACGTGGCGGCTCAAGAGAAGGGTTCCGGATCGACATCGAACACACATTGACAGAGCCGATAATCGCCATTAGAGAACCAGAGGGGTAAGTTGGGCAAAAACTCATCTGTATTTGCTGGGATCGGAAAACGGATCCCGAAGCAAGATTGATTGAAGAGCCGGGGGCTCGTGGTTGAGAATTGCCTGTTTAATCTGGATAGGAAATTTCAGAGCGAGACGAACAGTGGCGCAAGGGTCTGGACCCCTGTGAAAGTCTTGCAAGTGGAGCCCCGATGACGGATCTTGGAGGCGGAAACTGCCCGGTTCTATCTAAAATTCTAACTCTCTTCTTCGAAGCATCGAAATGTTTAGTGTTCTTCAGCCCTACAGATAGACACAAACAGCGACGGCGCGACAAAACGGACCCCCATGCCAAGATATCTAAAAGTTTTCACTCCATTGGGTTGAGATTTTCGGCACCATCCCGCCGGTGGCCCCTCACGAGTCACACACGCACTTAGACCCGGCTCTAAGAGTTTACCCAACAGCGCTTGTTCGACAAATATTGAGAAAGGCTCAATGACAAGGAATACTTGTGGTGTCCGGCGTGAGATTGGCGCGCAAACAAGCCTGTGGAAACCTGTGGAGCATCGCGACATGAGAATCGCCTGAGGTCTGGGAGATGAACATGACAAAAGTCTGCCATGTGGCAAACTCTGCAGCCACTGCCCAACTGATAAGGGTTTATTAGGTTGATATCACTGCAACCCTTCTCATGGAGCGAGTCCATCACGAACACTACATTGTTCACCGCGATTTCGTGTATTTCAAGATCGTGAGACGCTGATGAATTTCGAAATCGTTTCCCGTGGTTGACATTCTTCCACACAATCCAGTTCCCCCCTGTAATTTTCACTCTTTTCTGCAACAGAGACAACAAAATATGCCCCACGACAAGCACTCTCTCGACCACCGGGTCTCGGTGGACGGTGACGGCGAGCCTCTCGGCCGCCGCACCTCGGCGCTCGAGGAAGCCCCGACCTTCGTCCCACCAGCGGGCTACCCAGGCATGCCCGTCACTCGCCGCCGAAGCCCAGTCTCTCAGACCTCGCGCGTAACATTCGAGCACGACCAGTCAGAGGACCTCGATGAGCTTGTACGAAGCGCATCGGCCATCAGCCGGCACAGGTCAAGGGATAGGCGCGAGTCCAAAGACAACGTCTTCGAGCTGCCCGCTTTCCCCAAAGCCGCAAAGCCCGGCCCCGTCAGCACTATTCGCGAAGTACCTTCCCAGTTCACTACCCCTCAATCAACACGGCCGCCGTCTCCGGTCTCCGGCGTGAGCTCGGGCCCACCCTCACCCGGAGGAGGGTCCGGCACACAGACGCCCGCTGAGTACGAGATCGGCGCGGGCCAAGCCTACCCGGACGTCGGCACCGTCGCATCGTTCCGAGGAGCCATCGTGCTGCTCTGCACCTGTGGCGCTCAGCTCATGGACAACATCTTCATGACGGCTGTCAACATTGCGCTCCCCGCCATCCAGAAGGACTTCAAGGTCAAGAATGCAGAGCTGCAGTGGCTGATCTCAGCATACACCTTGACCTTTGGTGGCTTTCTTCTTCTCGCCGGCGTCTTCGCGGACCGTTTCGGTCGCAAGATGATCTTCTGCGCTGGTATGGCTACGCTGAGTGTATGGACAATCGCCAATGGTTTCGCGACCTCGTTCATCCAGCTGGCTATCTTCCGAGCTTTGCAAGGCATCGGCGCTGCTATGACTGTGCCTTCGGCCGTCGGCATCATCAGCAACTACTTCATCGCTAAGGACCGCACGCTTGCGCTGACAATCTTCGGTGCTGCTGGTGCCGTTGGGTTCTGCCTGGGTCTTATCTTTGGAGGCTTCTTGACCTCGTCGCTTGGCTGGCGGTACATCTTCTACATCCCCACTGCCGTCACCAGTATTCTTGGCATTATCGGCTGGGGTCTTCTGCCTAAGGACAGACTTGAGGGCAACTCGAAGCCCAAGCTCGATTTCGTTGGCGCTGGGCTGTCGACTGCTGGCCTCATCCTGCTTAGCTTCGTGCTTTCGAGTGGTGGTGAGTATGGATGGGGCAAGGCCTTCATCATCGCGCTGCTGGTCGTCAGTATCGCCATGATTGTTGCCTTCACCTACGTTGAGAAGAAGGTTGCCAACCCCATCATGCCGCTGTCGCTATGGAAGCTCGAGAACTTCGCTGCTCTTTGGATCGGTGGCTTCGGTAAGTCATGCACCTCTCTTCAATACCAAGACCATGTGCTTAGCCTTGAACAGTTTCATATGGAGGATACCAGACCACGATCTACTACACCACTCTCATCGCCCAAGAGGTCAACCACCTCAGTGCCGGACAGACAGCCCTCCGATTCCTCCCTATGGGCGCAACAGGCTTCATCTTCAGCCTGTCCATGTGCCGCATGCTCGAGATTTTTAACACAAAGCTCCTCCTCGTTATCGGCATGGCCATCTGCGCCATCGCGCCTATCCCCTCCGCGCTCATGCGACAAGACGACCTCAACTTTTGGAAGCACGTCTTCCCGACCACCGTCATGGGCGTCGCGGGAGTAACAATCGTTTACTGCACTATCACCGTGGTGCTGCTAGCTTCAGTGCCGGTCAATGTCAAGAGTCTGTGCGGTGGCATGATCAACACGGCTTTCCAGATTGGAAGTGGCGTCAGTCTTGCTCTGGCGGGAGCTGTCGTTCAGGCCGTTGACACCAGCAAGGGACATAGTGACCTGCGGCAGTACAACACTGGTTTGCTGTGTTGCTGTGGTCTCGCTGGCATTGGCATGATTGCCAGCGCGTTTGGAGTGAAGAACATTGGCAAGGCGGTGGGCGGGCCTGTGATGGCACATTAACGACTTGATGACGAACTCAAAGAAATAGAGGTATAGAAAAAGCGGCCATAACGGAACGTTTGAATGTTCGCAGATAGACTGCTGCTTGTTTAGATGCATAATTACTTATAGACTTAGACTTGGTTCAGTTAGCGATTAAAACATGAGGAAAGAGCGAATCTATTTGCGGTAATTGACTCTTGAGCGCTGAAAACTGAAGTAAGAGATCTTGATGGCTATGCGGAGTTATTAGAATGTGTTTTTCTCTCGGAGAGATATACCTTGGAGTGCGAGGAGGATTACTGTGATTCTGAGGCGATTTCAAATGACATAACTTACACAGGCAATTGGGCCATCTATGAACGAGGTACCATTAGAGCGATGCTGTTTCGCGTACCATCGACGTCATACTCAGATCGTGCCTGTATTCCTACACTGGAAATTTTCATGATACCTCAGAGACCGTTCAAAGATATGACGGAAAGATTTGGATTGATTCGCCGTGGCTTGCGTCACCGCGAAAGATCCGAATCCTTTCGGGTCCATCCCACTCGGCTCAAAGAGTCGTCAGCAACAGTGATATGGTGAGCAACACAATTGGTACAATCCGAGTCTTCCATCGATCGTTAGAGCAGAGAGAAGGATGCGAAAAACCCTATGGAACCATTTCATAACCTGTGAACAAGCTGTCATTCTCAAAATAAGATCGACTTAGTATTGGCTTGGATCGTCCGGGCCGCCGTAAAGTTGCCGATTGGGGCCCACCCTTGCACTCAATCAGGCCCCACTCGGCGTCCGTTTTCTTTCCGAAGGTGCTCGGAGCTTACGGATGTAGTAGAACACCGCATCCCGTGTGCTTGTTTCAGTGGCATCCATGGTTATTATATAATCTGATGTTTGCATCTAGGCTGATGCCTATCAATTGATTGAGTCAACTTCGCACTGACTCTCTCAGAACTACAATGGCGTTCGGAATTCCTTCAATCATGACAACCCTTGCTCCGTACCATATCATCTCTTACGGGACACTACTCGGCACGTCGCTGTTTCAGACGTTTATCAACACCAAAATCTGCTTTCTCGAACTTCCCAAGTCCGCATTCACTACATTACAGAAGCGCCTGTTTCCGATATACTTCCGATGCCAGGCACTTCTCCTTGTCTTGACAGTCCTCACGTTCCCCCCTCATGGCCCAACATCCTTGTTCAAGGTGAAGAGCAACTGGATCCCGCTCATGGTTGCGGGGATAACATCTTTGGCGAACCTGCTCGTCTACGGGCCGAGGTCTAGACAGGCGATGATTGATCGCACGCATCAAGGTGAGCCCAGTCAACACGTTCCTACTACCATTCCTCTCTTCATATCTAACACCGAAAAGAAACACGCGATGCGAAACGCCCTGGGGATGTCGATGAACCGAGTCCAGACATGCTTGCTGTAAGAAGACGGTTTTCAAGAAACCACGCAATGAGCATTCACCTTAACCTCGTCGCGGTCATTGCGATGTTGTGGTACGGTTTCAGCCTGGCATCTCGCATCCACATTGAAGTAGATTCATAAACGCGGCTTTGTGGGTATTACTGCTGGATTTAAGATTAATCTCCTTCCTTGTACCTCTCCAGCTCAATATGTACACATGCGCCCTACGTAGACTCAACGCGTAGCCCCAAATTATCCGTCTCTCAACTTCTTTGAAATGTTCCTAGTAGCTGGATGATTTGATCGTTAGCTGCGCAGATTTGGGGTAACCTGGGCGATGCTAGTGCCCTAGGAAAAAGCACTGCAGCGCATGAGTAATGCTAGCCACAGCCGAGAGCCCGCGGCGTTTTGTGACTTGCTTCTCCACATTTCGGCAGTAAAATCTAGTCACCTCGGCTTCTTCAGTCTTCAAGCTGGCGACGCCTTCGAAAGAACATACCGTTGACATCGAATAACCTCGCCGACTTGCGAATTACGTGCGCTCATCCACCTGAGGTTTGACTCTGGGACGATGAGCGGAAATTCCTCTTCGACTAGTGCTGTGAAGCCTGGAATAGACCGCGCTCGCGTGGCCTGCAAAGCGTGCAGGTCCAGACGGGTCAAATGTGACGCAGGGGACGCTCATCCCTGCTGGCAATGCCGGACACGCCAAATCCCTTGCGAGCTTGTAGAATCTAGGAGGGGCAAGTAGGTGTTTTCGCCCAGCCCGATGAAAGTCCTTCATTGAGAAGAAGCTCACAACGCGCCAGATATATCCGTAAAAAGCGCAACTTACAACGCAATGAACATGAACCCCTGGCTCAATCTTCACAAGTACAGCCCGGGAGAAATGAACCGGGCTTAGTGGAGCAAGAGACAGAAGCCCCGACCGAGGTTTTCATCGAAGACAGCAGCTTCACTAACAGCCCCGTCACGTCCGATGGAATTAGTAACGATGGCCAACTTCAACCAAGTCAAACACAGAGAAATCAAAGGCAACATCCTTGTTCGGTAGATTTGAGTCTATCTTACATCGTCGAGGTTGTCCACAGACCAAAAGATGGCTCAACCGAGCCCGTCAAAGTCCACTATCCTATCCCGGCTTGCATCGCAGACCAGTCTGCCTACAATCATGTACCCAAGGTCATAGAGACGATTTCTCTTCAGGAGGCCCTCACAATGCCGGCTCCACAAATCGCGGACCAGCTCATCCGTCCGTTCTTCGAGATCATGCATGTAGCGTACCCCGTGTTCGACCGAGAGAACTTCTCACGACAGTACCGTCAAGGCCAGGCATCGCCTCTAGTCCTGCAGGCTATGTTCCTCCTCGGTTTCACGGTATGCGATGACAGTCTCATCGAGGAAGCTGGGTTCACTGATCGAGCTACCGCAAGGAGAACGCATTATCTTCGCGCCAAAGCTCTTTACGATGCGGAGTATGAGAGTGATCACATGAATCTTGTGGCTGTTATGCTGCTTCTAGGTTTCTGGTGGGCTGGTCCGGAAGACCAAAAGGATAATTGCTACTGGGTCAATTGTGCCGCGACTATGGCTCAGTCTCTCGGCATGCACAGGTCGTATGTTGCAACTAGCCTATTGCCTTTCTCTCATTCAACAATGAATGCTCATAATGTTCAGGGTGTCACATTCGGCCTTGAGTCCACGGATACGATCACTTAGGAAGAGAATTTGGTGGGCCATCTACGTAAGTCGAATACCTATATAGGTTACTTGGCAGACTGAAGTTGACCATCGCATTCTCTTAGACCCGCGATAGACACACCTCTGCAGCATTCGGCCGACCATGTCGGATCCGTGATGAGGACTGCGATATAGAGCCTTTAACCGAGGAGGACTTTGAGTTCGATAAGAACGGCGATGAAAGACTGATACCCGCTCAGCACAAGTACCACGTAGCATATGTCATGGAGATGGCGAAACTCACTACGATATGTGAGCGTCTTCCCTCGGGTCTAGACTGATGACCTCCCAACCTATTCCTGTGCGAACCTAACACACACCTTCATAGTGGGGGATATAATAGTCGCTGAGTTCAGCCCACGTCGTGCTATGATTGAGAAGTACGAAGCCAAGTCGCTGAAGAAAGAGCTTCGCCGCTGGAATTCGAGTCTGCCGGCACACCTGAGTCCAGCGCCGCTCGATGGCTCCCTCGGCGCTTCATTCTGGGCTAGCATGGTTCAATTCACTTACCAGTAACTGTCCTGAACTGATCTTAAACTCGAAATTCTATGTTGACGCTCTATAGATACTGCCACATCCTCCTGTTCAGGCCGAAGGCAATCGATAACCTCACGCCGGCAGAGTCAGAAAGAGACAAGCAAGCTCGCATGGCAGCGGACGCCATCACTCGCAATGCAGAAGATCTACTCGCTGCTGAGACGATCAGATCCGCACAGATTCATCTGTAAGAACTACCTAGATGAGCCTTGCAATGCCGAGTTCTGACAGTATCCAGTGTCCCGACATTATTTGGCGCTCTTTCCATCCATACCATCGTCATTTGCCGCAAAGACCCAATTCGCCGGCAATTGGCCGAAAACAAATCACGGCAATGCTTGCTGGCGTTGAGTCAACTGTCGAAGTCCTGGCCTGTCAGGTTATGGATCTCAAAATCGTTCGTCAGTCTGATGAGGAGACTTACCGGTCAGGGGTCCATCGTCAACGTGACATCTAGCATCGTGAGTACTCTCAATTCCTCCTCAGCACTACGTCATCCTGTAGCGTGCAAGTCCTAACGGGAGTCGAAGCATGGCCCAAACTACCGAACCTTTGCCCCGCAGTACGCGGGCGAAGAAGCCAATCCAGCTGTGTTGAGTTCGTTCCGTGGCAGTGATGGAGTAGTGGATTCTGCAGGTCTCAATCCATCTCAGCCCGTGGAACCATCGGGAACTGAGAGCTTTCATCAGGCAACTGATCAGATGTTTTATGACACTTTCTGGGCGGACTACCTGGATAACACTTTTGATGTTGATCTTCTCATACACTCTCATTCGGGCTTTCCTAGCAATACTTCCGGGCAGCAATGAGAGGTTAGTGATTAGGTATGTGGAATGAAAAGGATCCGCTGGAAACTCTGGAGGACCACTAGACGACAGTCTATTATTAAGATCAAGCACAAGAAGTAAAGTGTATTCATCCGTGTCTGTGCATTAGGTAGACGAACCAATGCTTCCTAGTTTGGTCTGGTGAAATTCGACGCTCAACTACATGCGGGTTCCATCAAAGTATGCCCCTCTTATATTCATATTCATATCGTGCTATACCGACAATGAAATGAAGAAAAAACTGCTGGATAGTTTATGTCCTTGTACTGGGCAATTATATACTCTTGAAAGAACGGCACTCTACATTGGTTGAACGTAGCACTGAGTAGGTCGTCTGATCTGGGCATCTGTCGACCCATATGTGCTCAGGCGACTTTCAAGCTGGGGGAACTCGAAGCTAAGAAGAAGCATGCTTATCATAAACTTCATTTCCAATAACGCAATTTTCCTTCCGAAACAACCTCTCGCACCCGTCGAGAACGGCAAGGATGGGCCCGCAATGGCGTTGAAAGTGCCATCGGAGCGCATCCATCTTTCCGGCACAAACTGATCTAGGGGTGCCAAGTTGGTGTCCCAGCGTTTGGATTTCCGTTCACTGCCGTACTCTGTATAGTATTCCTGTAAATGGGAGGGTCCACCTGTGACTAGGAGAACGGGGGTCCCAGCCGGGATGTTGACTCCTAGGATCTGGCACCCAGTGATCGTCTCTCTGAAAGCCACAGGACCAGGATACGATACACGGAGGACCTCGGCAATGAACGCATCCAAGTATGGCACATCTGTTGAAGCGATATCGGAAGCAGTTGGCAGTCCAGGCTCATCGAGCCCGAAAGCGTCAACGAGGGCGCTTCTCAGGCGTGCTTGTACAGCTTGGTTGTCTGCTAGATGCTTCAACGCCCATCCGAGCCCGGCGCTCGTTGTCTCATGGCCAAAGATGAGGAACTGGAATAACTCGTCCCTTATCTGGCCTTGAGTTGACGGGTCGATGTAGAACATCGAGTTTCTTTTCAAGACTTCCTGTAAGCCACATCTCGGATGTCTCTGGTCCCCATTTTGACTCTGAATGCGAACAAGCGCAGCATTGACCTCAGAGTTCAGGATGTTTGTAACGGCATCCTGTGCACGGCGAAAATATGAGAGCTGACATATAACCCACTTCGACAGACGCACACTGATGCTCGTCGTCACCCAGTTGAGACATTGGACTAAGATTTCCATTGAGTGAACCAACAGTGGGCCATCCCTGCATGATTCAAGATCTCCTTTGTTTAGTGATTGCGCTTTAGGGTTTACTTTTTGCATCTCTTGTTGGAGCATGCCAAGGTCTAAGCCCAATGAGATTGCGCCAATGGCGTCTAAAGCGGTTGATTTGAGGTCATCTGTAGCTCTGAAAGGTTGTTGGTTGTTGGCCTTGGACCTGAGCTTCCACAAGTCGATGAGTCGTGAAATGGACTCATGGAATCTGGGAGCAGCGACCTCATGGAGGAACTGCGATGAAGAAACAACACCCCATAAGCGTCGTTGGGACTTCAACTTGTCATTTGTCTTCATACTGAACGTCGCGTTCGGCATGATGAAGCCAAACATGTCGTGGATGAGCGATGCCCTGTCCATCTCACCCAGTTTCCTCATGGCGATTTCCTCGATCTCTGGTAGGTCGGCCAGAATCACAGTGGGTCTCCTGAGGGAGAAGGTCGGGAGGAATATCTGCACGATCGGTGACTTGAGATCGAGGGATTCCCGAGAAAACCAGCTGAACGCTTCGCCGCTCAGGAGCCAGTAAGTGCCGAGGGGGGCGAGGTGTCCCGCTGGCATCCATCGCCATCTCCGTTTGTAAAGGATGCCCGGGATTGGGGGCGGTACCGTCAGGTGGATGGTGAGAAGGTAGAACGAGAGTGAGACACCGACGACCAACGCCAAGGTTGTCTTCTGGATGTCGATAATGGGGGTCAAGCCCCAGAATGCTCCACTGCCGGGCATTTTTGAAGGATGGAGATGCTGGTATCAGACATTGTGAAGTTGGAAGAAAAATGGGTGTACGACCACCTGAAATGGAAATACGGATTTCCAGGTTGGTAATGTCCAACTGACTTGCTGCAGACAATCACAAAGGAGCAAATTGTCAGTGGCGTCCTCGGCGAAGGCCTCAAATTGTGACTAGGCAACAGCAAACTCAATAGAGGGGCTCTTTAGCGGCTGCGCGGTGAGATAGCGATGCTGTCAACATCATAAGCGCTTGTCTTAGAGTGACAGCGCGTAGGCTGAACGAGGATTGTTTCATTGGTTAGTTTTGCCCAGCCATTGGCTGACACGGACTTTGATGCTCAATATAGCAAGCTGATGTTTAGTCGACACGCCTGAGTTGTGCAGCTTGCATCCTGCGCCGTAAGACGGGGTCTGTATTCGAATCCTTGTCAGCAACTTTCACAAGATTGCCGTCCGCGTGCCGAACCACACATGGGATGGCCGCGGTGGTGCCCCCGCAATCTGATTCCCGCCATCCGGATTATGTGAGACCGATAGTCGGAAAGGAATTTAGCTTTTTCGGTTTTCTTACTTTGTCTCCTCTGCCCACCTCAATTGTGTCGCAAAGTCGAGACGCGCTCTGGGATTGAGAGCACGATGATTAGCAGCCTCTCAACACCACAACCTATCGAACCTAGACCCTCTCACGATCTCAACCCACAACTCCACATGAATTGATCATCAGCGTCGATGGTTTAGTGGTAAAATTCTCCGTTGCCATCAAGCAGCGTCGGGGAGCCGGGGGTTCGATTCCCCCTCGACGCAATCTTTTGCATTTTACAGCGATTCTAGACAGATTTTTGACTCTTTTATCCGTATCTTTCGTTGTAATTGCTTTCAATGTTTTGATGTTGCAAGGGCTTTGGACAAGGTGGATTCGAAATTTCAAAGTCTTGCTACAGAGTCCTCAGTTAACATATGCTTTTGGACCTTTCCTGACCCTGTACGAGGAAAGCTCCCGACAAAGACAGTCTCTCTCGGAATCTTGAACCGGGCAATTAGTGACTGACAATGGCTGGCCAAATCCCCGTGAGTCAGCTGAGAGTTTGGCGCTACAATGACATAGGCACGCCCGGCTTCGCCCCAGAGCTGATCGGAAACGCCCACAACTGCAACATCTAATACCCCGGGATGTTCAGCCAGTGCAGCCTCAACTTCGGCAGGATACACATTCTCTCCCCCAGATATGAACATGTTCTTGCGCCTGTCGATGAGGAAAATGTAGCCCTCCTCATCGACCCGCCCGATGTCCCCAGTCCGAAACCAGCCGTCTTCAGTGAATACAGCCATATTTTCGTCTAGTCTATTCCAGTAGCCCGGCGTGACGCTCGGGCCTGAGACCAAGATCTCACCAGGCTCACCGACGGGAACTTCCTGGTCATCTCCGTCCACAACTCGGACCGCCGTCAACGGGCCCGGAAGACCCACTGAACCGGCCTTACTGCTAATGAGCTCTGCTGACAGTGGCATTCCAGAGCAAGTCCCCATTTCAGTCGATCCATAGCCATCCACCATTCGGACCCCACGACCCAGCCACCACTTGATCCTAGCTGGAGGGTTGGGCGCACCACCAGTAAAGAGGGCTTTCAAGGCTGACCATGCCGATGGGTTGAAATTCGATGCGCTGGCGAGAGCCTCGGCCATCTGAGGCACGCAAAAATAGTGAGTGACGCCGAGTCCGGCATCGCTCAGGCGGGCATTGGTTGTTTCCGGTTGAAATTTGGAAGAGACGATGAAGGTGCCACCTCGCATGAGCGAGGGCCATATCTGGGCGATGAGCCCCATGAAGTGGAACATGGGACCGTCGCACAAGAAGACGCTCCCCGTATCGACTTCTGTCAAAATGCTAAAGTTGAATGTCGTCGCCAAGATACTCTGGCCGGTCAACATAACCCCCTTAGGCGCCCCAGAGGTTCCGGATGTGTAAAGAATTATGCACGTCTCGTGCAGAGGCCGCGCTTTCAGCCGAGGGCCAGGCTCTGCAGCATCCACGCTCGCACAGAATGTCGACAACCCAATGTGGCGACAGCCAAGAGGCAGTTCCGGTGGGTCGTCGTGATCTATGAAGAGAATGGTCGGGGTGCAGTCGGCCAACAGCTTCGCGAGCTCGGGCCGGGCGAGGCGCCAGTTCAGCGGGACATGGATTGCGCCCAGCCTCATCAGTGCTTGTTGCAGAATGATCTGATGGACATTATTGACCGATATGGTCGCCACTCTGTCACCGATCTGGACCCCATGCTCGGATAGGACCGCGGTTGCGCGTTGGATGTCGGCGTTGAGTTCCGCATACGTCCACCGGCGGTTGGTTGCAAGGTCGATGCAGGCCAGACCGTTCGGCCGTAAGCGTGCATGCAGTTGCACTGGGTCCGGAGCGTGAAATTCCATCAGTGCGCTGACGTCTCTATATCAAAAGTTTGAAAGTCTAGAAAAGGTTGAAGAATTAGAATGGGGTATGTTGTGCGGCGTTGGGCTCTTATTGACGAACCGTAGTTTCGGTGTAGATATCTTCAGCGAGGGTTGCAATGTGACTTCTGAGAGGGAGTTACCGCGAATGAACGTCACTTCGTCAACAACCCCTGTCGTATATTATGGCGTGTTGATGATTGGAGCGTCAGATACAACAGCCGATTTTCCGCAGGGTGAAGTCAGTATGGAGGGGCGGTTTGACACAGAAGAAAGCATGCCGGATTGTGAAGACTTCGCCGAGTGTCCTCGTTGTTGATTATATGAACAACTTGCCGTTTACCAATAGTTAGTTAAGACAACGAACGCCCGGCGATGTTCGGAGTTTTTTCCAGTTTTTTGTTCTTCAACTCCGGTGACTGTATCTGCCAACGTGCAGGAACCTATCTGCTCCATATCTTGCAACTCATTCGGTATGCGGACACGGGGAGTCGGATTCTCCCTCGCCAGCATGCAGGTCACAAATGGTGTGGGTGGGGGACAACCACCAAGACGCTGTGCCGTACAACTCTTGATCCTTCGCATCCTACCGATGTTGTGCTGCAGCTCGACAAACCACGCATTCCTCCCATTTTGGAAAAAATGTCATAGGGGTTCATCCCGCAAGAAGATGGTGTGTTGACGCATTCTTTTCAACACTTACCACCAACAAGTCTGCACAGTGCATATTTGTGGACTCAGCAGCCAACGAAGGGGCCGATTTCACCTCAGCTTTGGTGAGAACTTTGAAGGATATCCACCACACTGAAGTCCCGTCTGACCTAAGATATGGAAAGCCGTCGGGTGGTAAGCTTAATGCGGTTGGATCGTTGGGTCAACTTCGTGTTCCTGCTGTGCCGTACCTCTCCCGGCCGAATCAGCTTCATGAATATCACAGGCCACATGAGCAGATGTGCGGACCTCGGAGGTTTCCTTTACGTACCGATTCGCGATGATGAATGTAAGGAGCTCCGGATAAGAACCAATGTAATCAAGTTTTCCTGAATTAGCCGCCAACTCTTTGCATGCCTAGATTGACGCTATTGGAATGTCAAAGGCTGATTCACTCTTGGACTTCTTAGCCTCGAAGTAAGCCATGTCTCTTATTTCGGTAACAATCTAGCAGATTTCATCGCGACTGTCAAAAAGATTGTCAGCAAGCCCCCATATAATCAAGCATTGTGCCTGTTGTAGCTTTTACGGGTAGGACGCAGTGAGTATGGAAAGTGGACTGTATCATCAATCTCTACACATCGACTTGACACCATGACCAATAGCACCAAGCCCGCAATTAATGGTATTTGCAATGAGAACCATCAAGAGCCATGTCTGTATGAGCCTATTGCCATCATAGGCATGGGCATGAGACTCCCAGGACGCGTCTATAACGCTACCGACTACTGGGACCTCCTCGTCAACGGCAGAAGCGGACGTTGCCGAGTTCCAAAGAGTCGTTATAACATCGACACCTGGTATGGCAGTGGAAAAGCTGGCCACGTTCCCAGCGAGTTTGGCTATTTTCTCGATGACATCAACCTGGCCCATGTAGACCCTAGCTTCTGGTCTTTCACAAAACAGGAGGCCGAACTCATGGACCCCCGGCAACGTCTATTCCTCGAAGTTGCTTATGAAGCCTTTGAGAACTCAGGTTCCACGAGATGGAGAGGACACGATGTTGGGGTCTACGTTGGAACCATGGGAGAAGACTGGAGTCAGCTTGAGTCTCGCGACAGTCAAAGCCTCCAACAGGTTCGCCCTGATGTGTATGGAGACTATATCATTGCCAACCGGGCTTCGTATGAGTTTGATCTTACAGGACCGAGGTAAGTCTCTTACCACGGGTTATCTCTACATGATTTCTCACAGCATCTCCAGCGTCGTTGTTCGAACTGCATGTTCCGCATCTCTTGTTGCACTGCATCAGGCATGCCAAGACCTCCACAGCGGAGACTGTTCATCTGCCATAGTTGGGGGTGTCAACCTCATCCTCAGCCCCAAGGACACCATTATCATGCAGCAAAACGGAGTACTGTCTCCGTCAGCAGCATGCAAAAGCTTCGACGCCGAAGCCGATGGATTCGCACGTGGTGAAGGTGTATCTGCCATTTACATCAAGAAGGTGTCGGATGCTGTACGCGATGGCGATCCTATCAGGGCAGTTATTCGGTCAACATGCACTGCAGGAAATGGCAGAACCCCAGGACTAACGACGCCGAACCCTGAAATACACGAAAGACTCATGAGAAGGGGACACAAGATGGCTGGGATCACCGACTTATCCAAAACCGCGATGGTAGAGTGTCACGGAACTGGTACTTTTGTAAGTTTATTGCGGGAACTTTGAAGAGATGTCAACTTTGCTAACTAAATGTTTTCATGCTTAGGTTGGGGATCCCCTGGAAGTCAGTGCAGTGGCCAACATCTGGGGTGATCACGGTATTTATATCGGCTCAGTATGCAATCGGATGCCATACAAAACTTTTCGCGATAGGTTACTTACAAGATCTATTAGGTCAAGCCAAACATCGGTCACGGCGAAGGGGCTTCTGGGCTCTCCAGCGTGATCAAGATGGTTCTGGCATTGGAGAACTCCATCATACCACCAAACATCAACTTCAAAACTCCTAATCCTCGAAGTAAGTGACACTGAAATGCAACATCACTGAAAGTAGTCACTGATCAAAATTTTGACTTAAGTTCCATGGAAGAGTGCCAAACTCAGAGTTCCCACAGAGCCTATACCCTGGCCAACTGATAAAGATCAGCGGGTCTCAATCAACAGCTTTGGTATCGGTGGTTCGAACGCCCACGTGAGAATTCAATTCGATGGATCTAGAATTTCTATCGAGAATGTTGGCTGACAACTTGGTCTCCGTAGGTGTTGCTGGAATCTGCTTCTTGCTTCGGCCTATCAACTTCCACCCTAACGAACGGCCTAAGCTCAGGAACTAACGTTCCGAAATACCAACTCTTACCACTTTCTGCCACACATCCTGAGTCAATCAGTGCTATGGGCCACAAGATTCAGAGTTATTTGAGTCAAAACCCTGCAAGCTTGGGCGATGTCGCAAACTCGTTAGCATCTCATCGAGAGATACACCCATATCGAGCTTTCTGTGTGACCAACGGTAGCAGTCCCTTTCAGGTTTCATCAGTTGTCAAAGCAACAACGGCCCCGCCAGATGTAGTCTGGGTCTTCACGGGTCAAGGAGCCCAATGGGCTCAAATGGGCAAAGAACTTCTAGAGCAAGAGGGGTTGTTCAAAGACAGGATCGATGTCATGGACGGAGTTCTTGCAGGTCTTCCAGATCCTCCACCATGGACACTACGAGGTTGGTACTATCTCAGAAACTTGCTGAAACCCCACTGATAATCTGAACTTCTCAGGATTACTATCTGCTCCAAAAGAAGAGAGTCTCCTCCATGAGGCAGAATTTTCGCAGCCATGCTTGGTTGCGATCCAAGTCGCGCTCGTCGACTTGCTTCGCTCATGGGCCGTTGCACCAGCTGCGGTAGTGGGACATTCTTCGGGCGAGACCGCTGCTGCTTATGCGGCTGGTGCAATTACAGCCGAAGAGGCTATTTTGATCGCCTATCACCGCGGTCAGATCACTCGTCTCATCAAAGCTGCACACAATGGCAGCATGGCAGCCGTTGGTCTTGGCAGAAAACAGATTGAGGGGCTTCTTCGCCCAGGTGTCATCATCGGCTGTGACAACTCTCCATCAAATGTGACTCTGTCAGGTGAGAGAGATGTTCTGGGGGAGATTCTCCTAGAGATCAGCTCTAAGCACCCGGATGTTCTCGCCCGGAAGCTCCGCGTTGAGTGCGGATACCACTCTCGTGAGTTCATGTCACACCGCTTTGGGTTTCGTATCGTGATCGCCGGACTAATATTTGCCACAGATCATATGAAGACTGCCGCCGCAGATTTTACATCCCGCCTGGAGGGACTGCTTCAAAACAAGGAACCGCGAATCTCGTTCTATTCATCTGTGACAGGAGAGAAGAACACAGACATGTCTCACACATATTGGGTCCGCAACGTCATCTCGCCTGTTCTGTTCAATGCAGCGGTACAAGGAGTCCTAGACGATTTTGAATGTCCAATTTTCGTCGAGATTGGCCCTCACTCCGCCCTTGCCGGGCCTATCCGTCAAATCCTGAACTTCAAAAACATGCCTGCCCAATACATACCGACGCTGGTACGCAATCAGAATGCCGTTTCAGCCGTTCTGAAGACTGGAGGGGAGCTCTGGGTGGCTAGCATCAATATTGACATGGCTGCAGTCAACCCACCGGGACAGTTTCTAACAGATCTTCCGACATATCCATGGCACTACGATGAGGAGTATTGGCAAGAAAGCAGACTTTCTCGCAGTTGGCGCTTTAGAACTTTCGACCATCACGAACTTCTTGGCTCTCGCGTCGAAGAGATTTCGGACGCCTGCCCTGCTTGGAGGTGTATTTTACGGCTTGAGGATGTTCCATGGCTGGAGGAACACGTCATCCGGGACAACATAACACTTCCTGCCTCTGGTTTCATTTCTATGATAGGAGAGGCTCTGAGGCAGCTTCACGGGTCCGTGATCTTTACACTGGAAGCTGTGTCCATGGAAACAGCTTTGATTCTCGATGAAAAGCCAGTCGAGGTTGTGACGATACTCAATCCGTCAAAGTCAAAGACTTCGAGCAAGAAGATCGTTTACGATTTCTCGGTTTCTTCACTTGCATATGGGAGTGGAGTATGGGTCAGCCATGTCTTTGGCCAGTGCAAACCCGGCTCAGATCGGAGGCATGCTGTCCCTGACATGCCTACCCTACCACGTCAAGCTTCAGCAGATTCATTCTACAACACTTGGAAAAGATATGGTCTGAACTACGGTCCCAACTTCAGGGGTCTGTTTAACGTCAGTTCACATGTTAGCGAAGCCAAGGCTTTTGCAATGCTCGATAGCAAGCTCGCAGGCTACACCAATTCGCCCTATTTGATTCATCCAGTTACTCTCGACACAAGCATGCATGTGGCAATGATATCCGAGGCTCGTGGCCTGGAGCGAAACTTCCAGGGACTAGTTGTTCCCACTTACATCCAAGAGGTGTATGTTGCTCGACCAACCGGACAGATCAATGTTGTCGCTAGTGCCGATAATGAGGCAGAAGTAATTGCCAAGAGCAATATTGTTGGAGTTTCTGATGGACAAGTCGTGATCGAGATCTCCGGCTTGGAAGTCACTCAACTCAATGGGGTTATTAGCGACCAAGGGGCAGATGATCCTCACGCTGGTGTCGTTTTGAAGTGGATGCCAGACATCAACTTCACGAAGCTGACTCAACTATTTCGACGTCGGGAAATGGATGCCAGTTACAGCGTTTTGAATGAGCTGGTCTTGGCCTGCATCGTTGATCTGAGAACTCAGCTTCAGTTCCTTCCTGCCACGCAACCTCACTTTGTGAACTACAAGAGTTGGCTTGATGCGTCATATCGCAAGGCTATGACTGGGCGGTACGCAGATGTCCTCAACGCTTTCGATATCGCAACGATGAATCACAAGACGAGACTCGAGGCTATCGGTAAAATGACAGAGACTTGCAAGCGGACTCTCGCGTTGGACGCCTCTGTGTCGATCTTCCGCGTGCATACCTTTGGCGCAGACTGCTTCTCCGGATTGCCCCATGCGATGAAGCCACTCGCACAGCATAGCCATTTCGATGGAGCTATCAACCTCATAGCTGACGTGGACTTCACCGACTTTGTTCGACTTCTAGGACACCAGAACCCAGGCTTGAGAGTTCTACACATAGGCGCGAGAGAAAGCGATGACTTACTATCGAAGTTGTTGTGTTCCGATGACATCAACTTTCCATATGGTAGCTACGTTTATACCGGCGCTTCCTCAAAGCCGCCGAAGTCTTTGAGGAACCGTTTCGAGTCAGCACCAGCTGTAACCTACAAGCAGTTGGTGATTGACATAGATCTATCATCGCAGGGCTTGTCGGAAGAATCTTTCGACCTCATAATCTCCGAACCTACGCTATCCTCTTTCTCAAACGTCTCCATGATCAACATGCGAAGACTGCTCAGTCCGCGAGGTCATCTGATTCTTCAACATGCTAACCCCGAATCCAACCTTCTCAGGTTCGCATACGGGCTATCTACTAACTTCGATTTCGGCAACGGCCCCTTTGGCAGTCCTGATATGTTGCTGAACCAACTAAGTCACGCTGGATTCGACAATGCCTCAACCTTTACCTTCGCAGGAGAGCATGGTAGGGTCACTGTCGCCACACCGTTTGCCGACTTCTCAAAAATGAGCAAGGCCAGCATCATCTGTCAAGACCCAAGTCATCATCTGGTTGTTGCAGCAACAAGAAACTTAGAATCCCGCGGTATTTGCCCACAGTTCTTTTCCCTTGGACAGGAGTTGCCCTATGGTCAGGCCGTTGTGTGTTTGCTAGATCTGGAAGGCCCCTTTCTTCATGACATGGATAGCATCCAGTGGGAAAACCTCAAAAGTTCTTTGTCTTCTGCGCAGGATGAGAAGTTCCTTTGGATCACCGCAGCTTCTCAAATTCACTGCAAAGATCCAAGGTACTCTTTGACACTGGGTGTGACCCGCAGTATCCGGAGAGAATTGTCGATTGACCTGGTCACCCTTGAACTGGAATCTTACGACACTAGCGGATGGAATGCCGTGGCCACTATCTTCGAGTCTCTTGGCAACCGTAGCAGCACTGGCGGCACTAAGGCGGATTCTGAATATGTTGTCTCTGGGGGGTTGATTCAAATATGTCGGTTCCACTCTGTCAAAGTTTCCGACGATCTACGAGAGCGATGCGAGGGTGCACCCAAGGTTTTGAGGATAAAGAAGCCCGGAATTTTGCAATCTTTAACATGGGAAGAGTCAGAAGCCATGACGCTGAGCGATGATCATGTGGAAGTCTCAGTGAAAGCTGTTAGTCTGAACGCTGAGGTACGTCAACTGAAAGATCCAGAGATGACTTGAGAGGCTCGGAACACTGACCATCAATTTAAGGACTCAAAAATCTCATCGGGTCACTTCAAAGACAGCAGCGGCGCTTGCACCAAAATTGGCCTTGAAGGTAGTGGTGTTGTGACAGCTGTCGGGCTAAAGACCTGTCGATTCCGAGTGGGTGATCGTGTTGCGTTCAACCTCAGTAGCTCCTTGGCCACTACAATCATCGTCCCCGAGTCTCTTTGTGCAGACATTCCACACGCGATGACATTTGAAGAGGCTGCTTCGTATCCTTACTCTTACAGCACGGTGCTCTATGGACTAATGGAGCTTGGCAGGTTGAGGAAGGACCAGGTAGGCTCTTCTTGTCGAGATAAGCACATCATTACTCAGGCAACTGCTGACTCTCTAGACTCTTCTGATTCATTCGACGCCAGGTGCTCTTGGTCTAGCTGCTATCCAAGTCGCAAAAATGGTCGGTGCAGAGGTAAGCTCTATACGTCGATCCTCGCGCAAACCAATTCGGGATGAAAGCCTAACTCAACTCTGCCCTAGATCTTCTGCACAACCGAGAATGCGACACAAGCCCGTTACCTGCAGAAGTTGTACGGTATCCCGAGCAACCGTGTCTTAAGCTTCGGCATCACCTCATTTGTGCCTGAGATCCTACACGAGACAAATAGCCGGGGTGTGGATGTCGTCTTCAGCACGCGTCCTGAATCTATGCAGGAGACCTGGGCATGTCTCAAGCCGTTTGGTACGATGGTACAAGTACGACATGGCGGAGGTCAACTGGCGGGTACTTTGCAGAGTTACCGCAACCGAACTTTGGTGAACATTGACCTTGAGGAATTGAGAATCCATCAGCCCGAGGAGAGTACTCGGTAGGTCCTTGTTCCTTAGTCTTGAGATCTTCCACATCCAAAGTTCAACTCACTAACAGGAGATATTGCAGTCTTCTGGAGCAGGCATTCTTGTTCCATAAGTTTGGACTCAATAAGCCCCCGCAACCCATTACAGTCTTTCCAGCTTCTGACATATTGTCAGCTTTTAAGTACTTGGGAAGTGAAGGGCGGATCGGTCAAGTTGTTATCAAGATGCCCGAAAGCAAAGCAGAGCTCCAAGCTCTTCCCTTACGACGAAGTATGGCTCTCCGTTCGGATAGAACCTATGTCATCGTCGGCGGTCTTGGAGGATTGGGTCAAGCCACGGGAAGATTTCTCATCGAAAAGGGGGCTCGTCATTTGATATTCTTTTCCAGATCTGCCAAAGATATTGCCCACTCAGCATATTTCAAGGAGCTTGAGTTTCTAGGCTGCACGGTTCAAGCCGTTTCTGGTAGTGTCAACGAGATGACGGATGTGGTGAGGATGGTTGACTCAGCAACTACTCCAATTGCTGGTGTGTTACACGCTGCAATGGTACTCCAGGTATGTCCTAATATGTCTGGCAGATTCTGATTTCTGAACAAATACTTATTGCGTCCCAGGATGTTCACTTCGCCGACATGACTTTTGAGCAATGGCAGACTACCGTCTCACCAAAAGTACAAGGAACTTGGAACCTACACTACGCTCTTCAAGCACAGAGAGATCCTCTTGACTTCTTCTTTCTCTTCAGCTCCCTCTCAGGTTTGGGAGGACAGATTGGACAGGCCAACTATGCTGCTGGAAACGCATTCCTCGATGCATTTGTTCAGTATCGGCATTCTCAGGGTCTAGCATGTTCTGTACTCGATATCGGCATCATGGAAGACATCGGTGTTCTTGCCAGGGAGACCAATCGCCTCGAAGCTCTTCGCTCAACTTCTCAGCATTGTCTTCATGAACAGGACCTCCTTGATGCTATGGAGTTGATGATTAGCAGATCTCAAGCGAAGAAGGGGACTCATACGCAGCCCTTATTGCATTCAATGGGAGGCTACTTAAACTCGAGTCAGCTTGCCATCGGAATGCGGTCTTCGTCCTCCATAAACAGAACCGGTTGGCAGCAAGATCCGCGCGCCGGATTCTTAGCAAAGTCTGTGTCTGTAGACACTTCTATCGATCAGCACAAATCAGAAAACACTCTGAAAGATTATCTTCAGAGATGTGTGTTGGATCCCTCGCAGCTGGAATCTGACGAGGCGAAACACTTCCTGGCTGGGGAGATTGGTGCAGCATTGCGGGGCTTCATGATGCGACAAGATGAGGAAGTCGACCTGACAATGCCGCTGCAAACGGATTCCTTGGTTACGGTTGAGCTTCGAAACTGGCTGAGACAAAAGGTTGGTGTGGTCCTCAATATTCTCGAGATGAAGAGTGCAGCGAGTATGATCGCGCTGGGTGGCTTGGTTGCGATGAGGCTTTCGGCCGTGTACAGAAATCGTGTGCAAGATGTGGGCATCAGCTGAAGAACTGAGATTTATTCACTTTGAGGTTGGGCTGCTTCAGGAGCATCTTTCATGTCAGGCATGGAAAAGAAAAGTTATTCCGGATTTTTTGGTTCTATTTCAATACACTCTGATTCTAGGATGAGAGCCTATACCAGTTATTCCAAATGATTACAATATCTGTTCCATCTACCTAGTCAATGCAAGGTGACGCTTTCATGATTATCAAAGTAATTCATGTTGATACCTGGGCGGCAGGGGGTTGGGAGCCGCACACAAACATCGATGCTTCTTACAACGAGAATCGACACTCGCTGTGGGTAATGGCGTAAATTTGGACGAGAATTATTTCTCACATTCCTACTTACAAGTGTTTATGATCAGGCACTCCACCCCCGGAGTGGCCGGGACGGCGGGTCGGCCCTATGTGTAATAATAAAATAAACTTCCACACTTGACAGAAGATGCCTGAGAATCCATTGCTCGTCACAAAGTTTGACCGGCTAATGTTTGCGACTGAGCTCTGGGTACTAATCTCCCATCTCCATAACAGACTTTGTGATAGAAGTCTATGAGTGGCGAATCATAGGTATACTACTTGATCATTGATCAATACGACGCTCAGCCCCTCGTGGGCCCTAGCCGATCACTTGAAAGCAGGTGCTATGAGGCCGACTGATTATATAAAGTACCGAGACTAGTCGCACTGATCAGTGACACCAGTCTGCTTCGATCTTGAGAGAAGTGAACATTGACATAATCAAATGAGTCGTCACTTTTTATTCTTTGCGGTCCTTTGTTGGATCGCTGCCCATTCGGCCATAGCCGCTAGGGTAGCGGTTGTCTTAACGGATTCGAAAATGGACGACAAGGCCGGCATTGCTGTCGCACTTATGAAAACCGATGCCAAGAACCCTGCTAAACCTCAATATGACCGCGTCATCTTGGTCTTTACAGGCGCTGAAGAACGCAGCAGAATGGGCCTTGCGATGTCCGATTATCTTACCCGCGCCGAGAAGCATCAGCCTGCCTTACCAGCTGGGTGGGAATCACGAACTGCATGGTTTCAGACAAAGACCAATGTTCTGGGTCAGGCAGCGCCCCACGAAAGCTGGTACAAGAACCTTCGGCCCACCAAAGAGCTCCCCGTGGCAACTGGAGAGTCTTTAGCAGCCGAAGTTGCCAAGGTCGGCAGAGGTTCTTCTGTGGACATCTTCCAGGTCGCGCCCTGCGAGGATAATGACGTCTGGGAATTCATCGATGCATTACCCAATATCAATGTCTACCATCTCTTCTTTGGTTATAACTCCCGACAAGGTATCGCCACCGACGATATGACCCGAGCGAGTAGACTAGCTCTATCACAGAGGCAAGTTCAGTTTCATAAGACCCTGCAGGCGCGCCTCAGCGACAAACATCTCAGCGCTAGGGTGATCTTCACCCAGAACGTCCCATCCTTCGCCAACGCCGGAGCCGGCTCTCAGGAACTGTCCTGGTGTAGGAAGTATTTCCCTGAAGAAGACATCTTAATGGCGCTTCGGGATCCTTTCTGGACCGGCCTCATCACCTTAGCCAACAAGTACGCAGATGAAGCGACGAAACTCCAGCAGATACGCGCTTCACCTGAAGAATTCATGACTCAAGTCGTGTCCTCTCGATTGGAGGAGACGACTCTGCGAGTTCAAATCTTGAAGATGCTGAAGAGTGCTATTTCAAATCAACAGTTTGCACAGGACTCACCAAGATGTAAGTTATTCCCAGTTGTCTTTCGAGAGAACCAGATCACTAACACGCTTCTATTAGCTTATTCTCGTGTTCGCGACATCTTAGTCGAGGAGTTCACCGGAAACCCGGCACCAACTTTAGAACTGGGAGACGCAAATCACATGGCGATCGTCTTGCAGTATCTTGATAACGAGACCAAGGACCGCAACAGTTACGCAATGAGACTTCTGCCGGCCTTGTGTGACACAAGTGAGGAAAACCCCACTCAACCTCCCCGGGTCTCAGCAGGAGCGCCGGCTGCTCAAAGTCCAGATGGGTGGGTTCTTGCAGGGTGTAATATCCACGACACGAGAAGATATATAGAGGGGCTATTCCAGGAGAATGCGCTGCCTTAGATGACTCTATCGCGGGATTCCATAATACTAGCTTGGAAACTTATTTTCATGAAAGGGCCAGATCAGAAATTATAAAGCCGCCAATGCGCAAGTTTGTAACAACCATATATGTATTCTAGGACTTTCTCTGTGACTCTACATCTTGTCATGGAGTGCGAACTTACTCTTCCCTCTTAAAGCTTTGCCGTACTTGAAGAACAACCATGGGAAGGGCATCATAGCAACTGTAAGGAATGCAAGAAGACTTGTTGCCCACTGGTGACCGAGTCTGTCATACATCTGGACGCCAAATAATGGGAACGCAGCTGAAGTCGCACAGAGTTAGAGAACTGAGAAGCTCGTGGCTTATTGAGATTACAAGACTTACCAGAGAACAAGCACCTAGTCAATCCATTAGACGCCAGTGCCGATGCAGAATACTTTGCATACGCATCGATCTGAAACTGTGGTCAACCAAAGAAACTCATGGGATAGAAGGACACGTCTTCAACGTACGAGGAAGGTATATATGCCAGTGAAGGCTAGAACCGTTCTGTAACATTGAACCGATTAGCTGTTATGTGACTAAGAGTTTCCTTGTCTCCGATGAGAGGATAACTATAAAGGAATGAAAGATTCTTGGAAACCTCCTCTATTCAATTCGTGCATGTTGATTGGAGTCAATAGACTTACCCGCAACCGAAGACACCGGAGCCGATGATTGGGACTATCCAGTGGATATTGGGACTTATCGTCCAGCCGAACCAAAATAACCCGATCGGTATCAGAAACCCGCCCAACATGGCCGGCGGTAATCGAAACTCCGGCTCACTAGCCCCGTGCTTCTCCACAAGTCGCGTGCGGATGATGGACCAGACTGGTGATGATGCTGCAGCCAAACACATGCCTACAATAATGCCAAGGAATGTAAGACCACCTTGCCATAGGTTCATCCCATACTCCGTTCGGAAGAGACGCGGGAACGCCAGGAAGAACAAGTACAGTATAGCCAGTAGAATGGCCGAGTATACGTTGAGGCAGAGGCACATAGGCTCCAAGAAATTGAACTGCAGAGGTCGTAGCATGGAGGCCGCTATGATGGAAGCCTTTGACGGCTGAATATCTCCGCTCTTCTTCTCCATCGGCGCTCGATACCGGTCGTCGCCAGTCTGCTGGCGGAGGTGCTTGGCCTTCATGTATAACCTGATTGGATGAAAGGTCTCGGGCGTAAAAAACACAATAATGGCCATCAACATCGAAGACCAGATGATCATGATATAATAGGTCCATCGCCAATTGATGTTGTAGTTGATAAACCCGCCGACTATCGGGCCCACGCAAGGCCCCATGAACGGCACTAGCGACACAAGTGACATGGGGTGTTGGATTTGGTGTGGTAGGAAGATGTCGCCTACAGTCCCTCCTGACACTGAGAGGAAGGTACCGCCAAAAGCACCACTGAAGAATCGAGTAACCAATATTGTTTGAATGTTCTTTGCAACTGCTGATGGAATTGTCGAAAGGATGAAAAGAGACCATGTACCGAGGTAGATAGGACGTCGTCCGTAATACTCACTCAAAGGGCTGATCATCGGTGGTCCAAAGGCAATACCTAAGAGGAACGTTGACAGTCCGAGGGTGGAGACAAGAGATGATGTGCCGAATTCGGTATTCATCTGGGTGTATGTGGATGTGTATGCTGAGCTAGTGCAGGTACTGGGTGATCGATCCAATGGTCAGTATCAGCTGCACCTGTAGTAGACTAGAGCCCCCCTTCGGGAGGTTCTACTTACACGCAGATCGTTACATTGCATAGTATTGTAACTATGGTCCACTTCCGAAGCAGTGACATGCTGTGTGGACAAAAAGGGTCATCGATCCCATCGAAAGATACCTCGAAAGGGTCCCGGTCGGTTGGTGGCCATGCCGAAGGCGCGAAATACTTCTCGGCGTCATCGCCCGACTGGGAATCGTAATTATCGCTGTCCATTTTGAGCGAGACCTGAGATTGTCGTGATCCTCAGTACTGGCAAAAGAGCTTAAACCCAAGATAATCGAGCGGCTGGTAGTCTGAACTGAGCATGGTTTAAATCGCTCGGTAAAGAGATCAGATCCGACGTTTATGGCTTTGAACACGGAGCCTGCTTCCTTTTGAAGGCGCGCAACCACGAGGACAAGTTTGGAGCGTTTGAACCTAATGAATCTTGAGTAGATCACAATGACTAATGATGAAGCATGCGAAGCAGCTAGGTCTTTTATCGAGAGGTTGACGGCTTCGGCATGTCAAGCAAAACTGCGAAGAGCCAATGGGAGTATACGGATTTGTCCCATTTTTTAAGACACCTCGGTGTCTTGGGCGATCGGCACGAGGGACCGGACCGAGGCCGGGCTCTTAGCATAGAAATAGTGCCTTTTTCTCACATTCATCATGCTAGGTCTCGGAGTCTCGTGCAATCCACCAACCTTACGCAAAATCCATTCTACTATTTTTGTATCTGACTCATATTGTCGGCACCAAGCCGTTTGGCTCCTCGGGTGCAAAGCCGATCAGCGGATGTTGATCTCAAGACTCGATTATTACAGCTCTTCCGATACTGATGGCTTGTCCAGAGAACCCTCATCAAACATGGCACTTCAAACTAGACTCAGCGCCCATCCTCAGTCATAGATATTTTATAACTCAGACTCACGGGTCGTAATAGACCAAGGTGTCCTGCGCTCCCTCAGAAGCAATGTCGTAAAAGTCTTTGCAGTCCGAAAAGGAAATCTTGGGCTGCCCGGCGTAAAACTCGTCGTACTTGGTATCAAGTGCATCCCGGAGGTTCTCGACACCACCTTCAGGGTGGATGTGCTTCCATGGAAGCCTGCAAGTCTCGGCCTTGCAACTTTTGAGGACCAATAAAAGGGCATCAAGACGGTCTTGGACGACGGACAAGGGACGATCGAGAAGCTGACCTGAAGCGCTTCCAGCAAGGTTGTTCATCTGACCTGGGTCCTTCTACAACAGGAGTGAGTAACTGATCATGATTTATGGGTTTCCATTCCCAGAAATTAGACTTACCTTCATGTCGTAAAATTCGCGTTCGTTACTGCACCACACTGAGTAAAACAGGCTATAATTGTCGCCAAGAACACGCATAGCCTTGTAAGTGTTGTTCGCAGATGCTAGTGGGACGTTAGCGCCAGGTTGCTTGGAACGATGCAATAGGTATCAAATGAACCGACCTCCGCCGAAGGCGTCATATCCGCGTTGAGTACCCCAAAACTCAACATTGACGTGATCATGCTTAGGGTCAGTCTGGGCCTTTTGAATCCCATCCTCAGAGAAGGGAATAGGAGAACCATCAAAGTCGTCACGTAGGGTGATGTTGGCCAACGAGAAGATCGTAGGAGCAATGTCGGTATGGGTTGTGACAAAGTCTACAGTCTTGCCCTTTGGCACGCCGGGGCCGCGGATCAAGAAGGGCACGTTGATGTCTTCTTCAATAGCGCAAGTCTTTCCTGGCTTAAGACGATGCTGTCCAATGTGGAAACCATTGTCAGACGTGAAGATGACATAGGTATTGTCGAGGACGCCGGCTTGGTCGAGACGCTTGATGACGGCGTCGACCATCTCATCAACGGACTGCAGTGTTTGGAGACGGCGGCGATAGTAGTTGTCGCCGTATGCTATCTCAGTGGCGTTCAGCTGGGGGATGATGAGGCCCCAGTTGGCCATGCTCGGCTATAAAAGTAAGGTAGCGTGAGCGACAAACGACCTGAACCAAAGTGTCAATTGTCTCATCTTACCTTGTCAGGGTTGAAGTTGTAAGTGCGGGGAACAGTCACGTTCGAGAAGAGGTTTTCGTGCCTCTTCGCGGGGATGGGCGGCGTCGCACCGGCACTGGTCTCGCCGCCAAGTCCATTGTTGTGAGGACCAATTGGTGCAACACCCAAGAAGAAAGGCTTGCTGCCGTTGAACTTGAGAGCATCGTCCAAGAAACCGAGAGCTCTTTCGGCAACCAAGTCGTTACTGTATTCGCCGGGGAAAGTCTGAGGGGGGCTCTGGTTTCTCTGGAACGTTGCATTCAAGTAGAGGTACGTGTTGGGATCCAGAAGAACTAGGCTAGAGTCAGCAATGAAGGTCCGAATTCTAGGTGTTGTCAAAACCTCACAGTCACTCCCAGTCCAGCCCTTGGGGAAGGGATTGTTCCAATTTTGGGTAGAGTGAGAGTTGAAGAGCTTGCCGGTGTAATAGGTGTTGTAGCCAGCGTCCTGAAGCCAGACAGGGAGATACTTGTCGTTGTAACCTTGGGAGACAAATTTCGGGTAGCCACCTATGATAATGTTTAGGCTATGGTCACTCTATTGGCAGTAGATGCTAACGACTTACCGTGAGGGGGTGTGACATATGTGACATTGGTGTTGTGCGCCGCTTGCCCCGTCAACAAGCTTACACGAGATGGACAGCAAATTGCGATCGTGCAAAAGTGTTTGCGATAGTATGTTCCCTGCTGAACAAAATGCTTCTGAACATAAGGCATGTAGTCAAGGGAACCGAGTCGCTCGTCCTGGTCATCAGTCAAGATGAAGACGATGTTCGGCTGCCGCTGCTGCACGTTCTGGGCGACGACAGCGCAGGCACCAACGGCCAGTGTCGCCAACGTCGACAGGCTAAGAACTGGCAACATGGTGAATCGTGAAGCTAGTGATCTTGCAACCTCACAGAGATCTACTTCCAAACCAAGTAGGAATAGAAAAGCCGTCTTGAGATCGAGATATGTGCTTCCAGGCACTGCAAAGTAACTTTTATATGCCGCGCGTAAGTGTTATGAGTGACGCAGCACCTCCATTGCCGGCTCCCACATTTCAGTTGACTACAACGGCAGGAACCTTCCCCAAAAGCTAGTAAGAGAATCAAGCCTGAGCGTGTTGCGGTGTTAGCCCACGGGGCCCCGGTAGCTCGGTGGTATCGCTGGTGGGTCGTCGGACGGCGCCCGCCCATCGGTCGACCAACCGGCTGGGCTCCAGGTCAGCGAAATGGGTATTTCGACAATGTCAACGGCATTCGCAATCGGGTCTTGCGATTTCGTCATTTGGTCCGCTAGCCTATTCTAACCACGATCACCACCTTATCATCATCAAGAAGACCATTTTCTCGGAGCTGGTTCCAGTTCGAGGTTCAGAGCAATATGTCGGGGCTCCGCTCTACACCGAAGAGACAGCATGGAAAAACATGGCAGACGAGAGCTTAAGTTGGTGAATTGCCTCGTCAATCACAAGGTCCGTTCGGATTGGCAACGTTCACAATATTTGTTCCATATCTGTCTTAGTCAAGCCTGTTTATATAGTGAGACGCCATCACTCAAGTGCAGCCAAGTAACAGGGATCTTTCATTCCCAACGAAGTGGATAAGGGCGGAGATGAACCTGACAATGAACCTCAATTGATGCAAATGGACTCAGTGATTGGGACATGATACCATATACCCAGTAAACTACTTAAGTGTATGGGCAGTTTGCCAGAGCAATCGAGCAAGACTCATTGGCTGTGAAACCACTTATGAATAACCTTAAAGACTCCAAGGCTCTTCGGGTCACATTTGAGAAGCGGATGACAAGCATTTGCTAAGAGGGATTCAGGAAGGTTGAAGGTTTATCAGCAGTCTTAGCTCTTGTTCCTGTGTCTGACTTCTTTGGCGACACAGAGTTTGAGTCGGGATCTATGCCAATCTAGCTGGAGCAATCGATCTCGCAAGACTGTGGTTTTTGCGAGGCTAAGAGGGGTCGCAGAACGTGTACTTATATCCTGTGAAGTGGAAAGTGAGTTATTGCACTGATACCCCGGTTAATAGCATATGCTTGGGTTTGAAAGTTTCATTGCCTTCTTACAAGCGTGACCACAAAAGAAAAGTACATGTAAATAGCAAGAAGAATTTGTACTGCTGCAATCTAGCCTCTTTCCCAGACCCCAAGGGATCGTTAGCAAAGCAAATGTGGGGTAACAAGGAAGATGTTGAAAGCTTCTTCACCAACCCCGACTAGCATCGGAAAGTTGGTGAGGGGAAGAGAGCTAGATGCGCAATTGATACTTTGTCAAGCTTTTCCCCATGGAACTTTAGGTTTAGAATCAATGAGAGCTTTTTGGCTTCTCTGAAAAGTCTTCCTGGGTAACATTACGAACTTCTGAGGCACTCGCAAACCGTCGCGATTCCCAAGGACGCATTCTGATTTCGCGCGGGAACGCCTTCATAAGGCGAGATGCAGCTTCCGCCGTCAACCTGCCCAATCAGCGATTGGTCAGCAGATCTGGCCGGCTGGCGCAATGGTAGCGCATCAGACTTCTACTTCGTCCAAGACGTGTGGTTATCTGGGGGTTGTGGGTTCGAGCCCCACGTTGGTCACTCTTTTGTTTGCCGGCATCGCAAAGGCCATTTTTGTGTAAAGGACATCCAGCACAAGTGAATTTTTTGAGCCAAACTTGGAATTGGTCCTTAAAGTGTCCCCTCCATTTCTGAGGGTAAATTGGATCGAGGCGTAGCTAAATTGGTGCTTGCCCATACGGGTAGTACTCGTGCTTGCAACACAACCACGATGACTAGATAATTTGTCACAGAATGCTTTAAGGTACACATCAATGCATTTTCAGAAGCTTTCGAAAGCCGGCAGCTTGGAAATTGTAACAAGGAAAAAGTCAAGTTGCGGTGACTTCAAATGTTTTTCTATCGCTTAAGGTAGGAGGTTTGGTATGAGTTGCCATGTCAGGAGCGGTTTTCGTTAGGTACCTGTGTGTTCAATGTTATCGACGTCATGCCGATGTACCCATGTGTCTTTTCTCAGCAACGTCCGTGTCCGGCGCTGGTAGTGTGGGTGGCCACTCACCGAGCTCTCACCGAACTGACCCACTTAAATCTCCATTGTCGCATAATCGTCAACCGTCCGCGTCAAGCTCCAGCTCAGCTTCCTTTCCCACGGCAAGCTCCAGAGCCCGAATTTCAAAATGGTACGTCCTCATGCGCCTCCTCAAATACGCAACATGCGGCAATTCTCGCGCAGCAGTCTCGTGCAATGAACTGTCAGCGCGCTGGCTAACGCAGCTGTTACAGTTACCCCTCGGTCTCTTGAACGCCGCCCAAGGGCACCCTATGCTCGTCGAGCTGAAGAACGGCGAAACCCTCAATGGCCACCTGGTCATGTGCGATACCTGGATGAACCTCACATTGAAGGAGGTTGTCCAAACGAGTCCGGTACGCGCCGCCGGCGTCGATGCATCGCCCCCATGCCCCGCGCCAGACCACTGACGAGTACATAGGAAGGCGACAAGTTCGTGAAGATACCCGAAGTTTACGTCAAAGGAAACAACGTACGAAAACTCAGACAGCGCAAGTTCCAGTCACGAGCGACATGCTGACGAAGCCCTAGATCAAATACCTACGAGTACCCGACGACATCATTGACGTTGTGAAGGAGAACCAACAGAACCAGCAAGGAGGATTCCGCGGTGGCAGAGGTGGATCGAGAGGAGACCATGGCGGCCGCGGAGGTGACAGAGGTCGGGGCAGAGGCCAGGGTCGTGGAGGCAGAGGAAGAGGTAACCGTGGTGGTGGCGGTGGGCAATGATGATATCCCGGACACGATCATGACGAGCCTAGTTGATTCGCGGCTCCCACCGCTACTTTTCACGATTTGCAAGAAGATTACGGCCCTCTGAAAGCTGTAGACATCCATATTGGACGTCTCGCACGAAAAGGAGTTCGAAGGCGGATGCCACTCGGAATAAAAACGCCATTGGATCAGCATTGCGTTATCGGCCTTTGGCCGCCCGCCTCGGGGGCACGCGTATCAACATAATCATTTTACGTTTAAAAAGCAAGAAGATATTTCCATGAGGCGATGCTTCTCCATATGCCGGCCGTGATGCTTGTGCATGCTCGTCATCTATCGCGAAGCGCATTCGATGTCGGGTGAGTCACGTGATCCACTTTTGCACCGGGATTATCTCGGTGAGAGAAGCTCCGAAAAGTGCAAGCTGCAGCTCTCCAGAATTTGTATCCCCCGTGCCCAGCCGCATTGCCAGCTCTATGTCGGGCACTCGGGTAGTCTTCGACGGCTTATGGCGCTGTCTCTGCCCCTCTGTCGATACGCAAGCTGCGGCCAGGCTCCTCAATACACAGATTGCTCCCAGAACATCGCTTGCGACACGGCAACGAAGTCATCTTGTCCCATCCGCCCGCCATCCTGCGAATCGTACACGATGTCGAAGATACACGACCGCCACATCCTCGGTCGTCCAGGCAGAAGGTCATTTGAAGCCTCATGATAACGGCGAGCCAGTTGAAGCCGACGCAGCTCGACAAACAGAAGGGTCGGAATCCGTGGACGACAATCTACCCGCCGTGAACGAGCAGCTCCGAGCAGCCCCGCTGCCTGCAATCCTCGATGCCTTGGAGGTTCTCCGGGGCCAGCCCAAGAGCTTCAAGAAGGTCGCGACAATCATCACGTATCTAGTACGGGCTAGAGGTGTTGAGCTCAGCCCGAAACTCTACGAGGACTTGATCGTTGCTACGGCCGATGTTCAAGGATCGGCGGCGTTCCTAGCACAGCTTTTTGCGGAGATGAAGCGACTGCAGTTTACAACGTCACCTTCGATATCCCATGCCGCGTTGGCTGTATGTTTTCTCAAGGCAAACCGGATTGCCCCTTACGCTGACGACAATAGGCTCTCGCGATACATCCTGACTACCTACTTCGGAACGAGATCCTTGCAGCCATGAAGCAGTCGTGGACTGAGGTCGATATCCCAGGACAGGCCCACGTAGCCCTTGGGCTACTCCGCGACGGACAGATCGAGCTTGCTTTCGACGCAATAGAAAACTTGATCCACAAGCAAGTACCGATGGCTTCATGGGTCTTTGACATCTTCATTTTCACCCTCGCCCAGCGCGGTTTTATAGATGAGGCGATCAAGCTGGCGCATAGCAAGGTTCACTCTTCCGATAGCGAGACCGACGTTGCGTTGTGGTATTCACTGCTCGACAATTGCTCCGAGGCCTACCACTACGAGGGCACGCGATACATATGGGGTAGGATGCTGGAGAAGGACAAGGAGCAACTTTCGGACGGGGTGCTCCTCAACATTATCAACACGGCTGCCAGGCAGAACGACTATCAGCTTGCCACAGGGGCTGCGCGGCTCGTCACGCAGAGGGGCGGAAAACTTGTTGCGCACCACTACGAGGCGCTAATCGAATGCTACGGCGGAGTCGGAGATATCGTGAGCGCATTGCGGGTCTTGTGCATCATGTTCAAGGCCATCTCAGTTGCGCCATACGCCAGCACCCGTCCGATCTACCAGAGAATTAAGAAAGAGCCAGAGAGCATCGACCCGGCTCTCAACACTCTTACTGAGCTTGTCCGCAGCTACAAAGTCCCCATTGCCGCGCTCAATGTCATCATTGAAGCCGCTGTCGAAACACACGGCTTCGCGAAAGCGTTGGAGATTTACCAGAATGCGCACAAGTATACCGAGGCCAGCCCTAATCATGTCACCATTCGGTACATTCTCCAAGCGTGCGAGGATACAGAAGCTCTCAAGGCTCTTGTTGCGCAAAACCCAGAGTTGGCTCTGAAAGGCGACCGCACTGTCTTTGCGAGGGTCGTGCATGAGTACGCCGTGGCTGGTGAGCTGGACCTCGCGTACAAGTGTGTGAGATTGTTCGGCGAAGCTCCTGCGCCGGTTGAAGGGCAGCAACCAGAACTGGACAGTTTTTGGATAAACAGGAAGACGCTACTCACCCTCGTCAGGAAATCCTTGGACGTGCAGGATGTGCGGGTTTGGTGGTTGATCGAGCAGGCCGAGAGACGGAATATGGACGTCCAGTCGGGCTTGTCGAAGGTGATGGCATCCGTTGCCGACGAGATCAAGAGAAGTTCCGGATTGGACCGAGAGGACACCGGGATGACATATCGCTTTCCATCATAAAATGGCGGGTTCTTGTATATGTTGTATTACCAAGAGCACTCGCATAATCACCTTTTGAGAGAAAGTGTGCCGCACCCGGATTCAACCGCGGCGGCTGTATACTACATTTTGGCACAAGCCAGTCAAATCTACGTTGCAGAAGCATGCAATCACCGGCCAAATCGTGAATACCATCTGTACTCATACGGAGTGACTCATTGTCAGCTTATAGCGTCGCAACCTTATCCCGACCACCGTGGAACACACCGAGAGGCACCGGAGGTTATCGATGTACCCGATTTCATCAATTTGGGTCCGGTCTACAACCCAGCATGCAAGCCCACTGGGCCATTTTTTGACTCTTTCTCGACACGCTCATTGCGAATCCCAGCATCCCTTCGTTACAAGTCTCCTCTATTGTGTTAAGGAAGCACTCACTGCTCCATTACATCGTCACAATTTGGCTTCCATTGTCACACCAGCTGACGCAAGCCATTCAGCAGTGTATTAGGAGTTAAAGCTGGCAGCCTGCCGAAGGCTTTGTTGCCGCCGACTGCAAGGCACTCTTCAACGGCTTGGCAAAAGCCATCGATTAATTAGTCAGGATGTGGCTCGGAGAGAAGACATGCCATCTCAAACACCAGGATCGTGCAGGCCAAGTGGCTGAATCATCCGTGGGATGGCATTCAGTTCAAATTTCGATCCAGCTAGACTTAAGGTTCTTGACCGGGCAGCCAATCAGATGCTGCATGGACGGGGATCATTCAAGGGTTCCGGAGCTCGCTGATAAATCGACCAAAAGCCGGACGCGGATTAATGATAATCTTGAGTATTGTCTGCTAGCATGTCTTCTCCCATTCATGTCCACGGAACTGACTGGCACTAGCAGCGAGTACTTTCGCGATGCCCATGCAGACGCTATCTCCTTGACTCTAGCTCCTAATTCCAAAGCCCGCCAACTTTACCGCACGCCATCTCGTTGTCCCTCAACGTCATGTCAGCCCTAGCACCATGTCTCCCTATCACTCTGGTCGGCAGAATCGACGGGGACGCGCCAACTCCAGACGGACGAGAACGGACAAACCAATACCCTGTTGACACGGCACGCACGTTTAGATCTTACCATGCCCCAGGGAGAGACTGAGATTTACGACACCTGCTTCCGCGGGGCCCCCACCCCCTTCTTCTCTCTCAAACGAGATAGCCATCTGCACCAGACGGCTGGTTCGCGCCTATCTCATTCCGGCGCATTCGAGAAACTTAAGCCCGGCTGTGATTCATAATGCCACACGTGCTAGAGTAGAGTCGCGCTGCATCGTAGTTATCGCTCGTAAGCCCGATGCCGTGGACGGACCAAATTTTGGCCCTGATCGGTCATCAGGCTAGCAGCCATGTTGCTTCTTTGGCGTTTGAGTGTTGTCGACGCCAATGTCTGCTTGGCGATGGTTGAGATGATGGTCAGTATATTAGAAGCCATGATGCCGGTATCATCATCGTCTGTTTTCCCGTCACTCCACACACTCATCTCTCCAGTCTTATACCCACAGCAACTGAAGATATCCCAACGGCTTCAGACGCAAGTCAGATCCCCCAACAAGTACTGTAATATCCCAAAGTCATCGCCGCTGTGTACAGCATACAATCTCAAGCCACACCATCATCAGCCGCTCCAATGGCGCAATTAATTCGAGATGCCCCTGTGGGCCAAATCATCCGCTTCATTACACGGAATAAGTTCCTCCAATACGCGGAAGAGAAGCCAGGCTTCCAACTCCCGCAACAATGGCTTGACGTCCTCAACTCTGAGAAGTCCAGCCCGGCAGAAGCAACCCCAGCCGATGCCGGTGCATCACCCCGATCCTCCGAATCAACCCACGCCGCCGATGAGGAGAACAAGCTTTCACAGAAAGAAGTCGAAGACGCCGCGCCGTACGGCACCTCGCTCCAGCGGACTCGGAGCCGGGAGGAGACGATCCCGTACACTGCGGACCGGCTCGAGGTTGACGAGATCCATGAGATCCAAAAGACCAAGAGCATCCCCATCGCACCGAGAAAGACAAAAGATGGTGCCATCCTGGTGGACTGGTACTTTAGCGACGATGCTGAGAACCCGCAAAACTGGTCTAATGCGAAGCGCGGACTCATCGCTGCCATCATCTGTATCTACACCTTTGTCGTCTACATGTCTTCGGCCATTTACACGCCCTCCATCGAGGGCGTTATCCACGAGTTCGGTGTTGACATGACTGAGGTCTCCTTGGGTCTGGCGCTCTTTGTCTTGGGCTACGGTATCGGTCCTCTGCTCTTCTCGCCGCTCTCTGAGATCCCTCGCATTGGCCGTAACCCGATTTACATCGTCACCATGTTCCTCTTCGTGATCGTGTCGATTCCCGCCCCTTTGGCTAGCAACTTCCCCGGCTTGATGGTTCTCCGATTCCTGCAGGGTCTCTTCGGCTCGCCGTGTTTGGCTTCAGGCGCTGCATCTCTGGGAGATATGTACAGCCTTCTCAACCTTCCTTACGCCCTCATTGCTTGGGTGAGTACTTCTCAATTGTGATACCCACCATTCATTACCATCATACTAACTCTCTCAACAGGTATCTGCAGCATACTGCGGTCCAGCTCTGGGACCTCTCTTGTCAGGTTTCTCTGTCCCTGCCATGGGCTGGCGCTGGTCTCTCTGGGAGATCCTCTGGGCCGCCGCCCCTGTCTTCCTCGTCATGTTCTTCTTCCTCCCCGAGACCTCGACGCCCAATATCCTCCTTCGCCGCGCTCAGCGTCTCCGCAAGCTGACGGGCAACGATCGCTTCATGTCTCAGTCCGAAATCGACCAGCGCAATCTCAAGACCTCGGCCGTCGTCATTGATGCCCTCATCAAGCCCCTCGAGATCACAATAAAGGACCCGGCCATCCTCTTCGTCCAGGTC